TCTGCTCTACCCAAAATTACAACCAAATAATTGCAGCCTTACCGCAAAAATGGAAGAGGAAAGTGGAAGGGGGAGAAAGTAAGGAACTTGTCTGTCGGCCTTGCATTAAAGAACATAATTGGTTAAAGAAAACTGTGATAAATAAAAAAGTATACCAGTTTAATTTAAGGACCAACGGATTGACAGCAGTCCCATATAGATTGCAAAATAGTTGGGAAGAGATTTGTGACGTACCGATCCCATGGCATAGTGTTTATGAACTGATACGCAAAACGACACCGGATTCAAAACTTAGAATCTTTCAATTTAAATTATTATATATAATTCTTGCTACCAATAGAATGTTATTTATATGGGGGATACAATCTTCCCAGCTCTGCAGATTTTGCTGCGAAGAGACAGAATCATTAGATCATTTGTTTTGGTACTGTCCATTTGTAGCTTGTTTTTGGACACAGGTCCAGGAATGGCTAAAGGATTGCAATATTTACCTGGAGCTAACCTTGCAGATAGCATTACTGGGTGATCTGAAAAGTCATAGTCAATCAATCAATAATATAATAATACTTTTAGCAAAAATGTTTATTTTCAATTTATCTGTAGAAACAATGAGAATAGAAAGGTTCAGAACTTTTGTAAAACATCACAGTACAGTTGAAAAATATGGCAAATAGAAATCCTATATGGATGGTGTTAAGAGATAGATGGGTGGTGTTGTATGGAGTTGAAGGATGGGACTAATAACAACATCTAATAACAAGATAACTAATAATGTAAGCATACTGTGTCCATAATAGGTATATAGGTTGTAGGTTGGGAGCTTTTGTGAAAGAGCACAGTTGAAAATCATGAAAATGATCGGAGCGGTTGAGAGTAGAAGAAGTTCAGGAGAAAAAACAAACAAAATATAATTAATGTACAGTGGGGAAAAAAAGTATTTAGTCAGCCACCAATTGTGCAAGTTCTCCCATTTAAAAAGATGAGAGAGGCCTGTAATTTTCATCATAGGTACACGTCAACTATGACAGACAAAATGAGAGAAAAAAAATAATTGTAGGATTTTTAATGAATTTATTTGCAAATTATGGTGGAAAATAAGTATTTGGTCAATAACAAAAGTTTCTCAATACTTTGTTATATACCCTTTGTTGGCAATGACACAGGTCAAACGTTTTCTGTAAGTCTTCACAAGGTTCACACACTGTTGCTGGTATTTTGGCCCATTCCTCCATGCAGATCTCCTCTAGAGCAGTGATGTTTTGGGGCTGTCGCTGGGCAACACGGACTTTCAACTCCCTCCAAAGATTTTCTATGGGGTTGAGATCTGGAGACAGGCTAGGCCACTCCAGGACCTTGAAATGCTTCTTACGAAGCCACTCCTTCGTTGCCCGGGCGTTGTGTTTGGGATCATTGTCATGCTGAAAGACCCAGCCACGTTTCATCTTCAATGCCCTTGCTGATGGAAGGAGGTTTTCACTCAAAATCTCACGATACATGGCCCCATTCATTCTTTCCTTTACACGGATCAGTCGTCCTGGTCCCTTTGCAGAAAAACAGCCCCAAAGCATGATGTTTCCACCCCCATGCTTCACAGTAGGTATAGTGTTCTTTGGATGCAACTCAGCATTCTTTGTCCTCCAAACACGACGAGATGAGTTTTTACCAAAAAGTTATATTTTGGTTTCATCTGACCATATGACATTCTCCCAATCCTCTTCTGGATCATCCAAATGCACTCTAGCAAACTTCAGACGGGCCTGGACATGTACTGGCTTAGGCAGGGGGACACGTCTGGCACTGCAGGATTTGAGTCCCTGGCGGCGTAGTGTGTTACTGATGGTAGGCTTTGTTACTTTGGTCCCAGCTCTCTGCAGGTCATTCACTAGGTCCCCCCGTGTGGTTCTGGGATTTTTGCTCACCGTTCTTGTGATCATTTTGACCCCACGGGGTGAGATCTTGCGTGGAGCCCCAGATCGAGGGAAATTATCAGTGGTCTTGTATGTCTTCCATTTCCTAATAATTGATCCCACAGTTGATTTATTCAAACCAAGCTGCTTACCTATTGCAGATTCAGTCTTCCCAGCCTGGTGCAGGTCTACAATTTTGTTTCTGGTGTCCTTTGACAGCTCTTTGGTCTTGGCCATAGTGGAGTTTGGAGAGTGACTGTTTGAGGTTGTGGACAGGTGTCTTTTATACTGATAACAAGTTCAAACAGGTGCCATTAATACAGGTAACGAGTGGAGGACAGATGAGCCTCTTAAAGAAGAAGTTACAGGTCTGTGAGAGCCAAAAATCTTGCTTGTTTGTAGGTGACCAAATACTTATTTTCCACCATAATTTGCAAATCAATTCATTAAAAATCCTACAATGTGATTTTCTGGATTTTTTTCTTCTCAATTTGTCTGTCATAGTTGACGTGTACCTATGATGAAAATTACAGGCATCTCATCTTTTTAAGTGGGAGAACTTGCACAATTGGTGGCTGACTAAATACTTTTCCCCCCCACTGTATATAGTAAGTATAAGCTGGAAGTAGAGGCCTAAGCATTGTTGTTCACTAGTTTATTCCAATTAGGGAAAGGGTCGTGGGGTTGGAAAGTAATAAAGGGGAAAATATTTTTTTTAAAGGATATGTATGTGTATGTAGGTATGTATGTATGTACAGTGGGGAGAACAAGTATTTGATACACTGCCGATTTTGCAGGTTTTCCTACTTACAAAGCATGTAGAGGTCTGTCATTTGTATCATAGGTACACTTCAACTGTGAGATGGAATATAAAACAAAAATCCAGAAAATCACATTGTATGATATCTAAGTAATTAATTTGCATTTTATTGCATGACATAAGTATTTGATACATCAGAAAAGCAGAACTTAATATTTGGTACAGAAACCTTTGTTTGCAATTACAGAGATCATACATTTCCTGTAGGTCTTGACCAGGTATGCACACACTGCAGCAGGTGGCCCACTCCTCCATACAGACGTTCTCCAGATCCTTCAGGTTTCGGGGCTCTCGCTGGGCAATACAGACTTTCAGCTCCCTCCAAAGATTTTCTATTGGGTTCAGGTCTGGAGACTGGCTAGGCCACTCCAGGACCTTGAGATGCTTCTTACGGAGCCACTCCTTAGTTGCCCTGGCTGTGTGTTTCGGGTCGTTGTCATGCTGGAAGACCCAGCCACGACCCATCTTCAATGATCTTACTGAGGGAAGGAGGTTGTTGGCCAAGATCTCGCGATACATGGCCCCATCCATCCTCCCCTCAATACGGTGCAGTCGTCCTGTCCCCTTTGCAGAAAATCATCCCCAAAGAATGATGTTTCCACCTCCATGCTTCACGGTTAGGATGGTGTTCTTGGGGTTGTACTCATCCTTCTTCTTCCTCCAAACACGGCGAGTGGAGTTTAGACCAAAAAGCTCTATTTTTGTCTCATCAGACCACATGACCTTCTCCCATTCCTCCTCTGGATCGTCCAGATGGTCATTGGCAAACTTCAGACGGGCCTGGACATGCGCTGGCTTGAGCAGGGGGACCATGCGTGCGCTGCAGGATTTTAATCCATGACGGCGTAGTGTGTTACTAATGGTTTTCTTTGAGACTGTGGTCCCAGCTCTCTTCAGGTCATTGACCAGGTCCTGCCGTGTAGTTCTGGGCTGATCCCTCACCTTCCTCATGATCATTGATGCCCCACGGGGTGAGATCTTGCATGGAGCCCCAGACTGAGGGTGATTGACCGTCATCTTGAACTTCTTCCATTTTCTAATAATTGCGCCAACAGTTGTTGCCTTCTCACCAAGCTGCTTGCCGATTGTCCTGTAGCCCATCCCAGCCTTGTGCAGGTCTACAATTTTATCCCTGATGTCCTTACACAGCTCTCTGGTCTTGGCCATTGTGGAGAGGTTGGAGTCTGTTTGATTGAGTGTGTGGACAGGTGTCTTTTATACAGCTAACGAGTTCAAACAGGTGCAGTTAATACAGGTAATGAGTGGAGAACAGGAGGGCTTCTGAGAGCCGGAATTCTTACTGGTTGGTAGGTGATCAAATACTTATGTCATGCAATAAAATGCAGATTTATTACTTAAAAATCATGTGATTTTCTGGATTTTTGTTTTAGATTCCGTCTCTCACAGTGTACCCATGATAAAAATTACAGACCTCACATGCTTTGTAAGTAGGAAAACCTGCAAAATCGGCAGTGTATCAAATACTTGTTTTCCCCACTGTATATGTGTATATGTATGTACAGTTGAAGTCGGAAGTTTACATACACCTTAGCCAAATTCATTTAAACTCAGTTTTTCACAATTCCTGACATTTAATCCTAGTAAATATTCCCTGTCTTAGGTCAGTTAGGATCACCACTTTATTTTAAGAATGTGAAATGTCAGAATAAATAGTAGAGAGTGATTTATTTCAGCTTTTATTTATTTCATCATATTCCCAGTGGGTCATAAGTTTACATACACTCAATTAGTATTTGGTAGCATTGCCTTTAAATTGTTTAACTTGGGTCAAACATTTCGGGTAGCCTTCCACAAGCTTCCCACAATAAGTTGGGTGAATTTTGGCCAGTCAGGTTTGTAGGCCTCCTTGCTCGCACACACTTTTTCAGTTCTGCCCACACATTTTCTATAGGATTGAGGTCAGGGCTTTGTGATTGCCACTCCAATACCTTGACTTTGTTGTCCTTAAGCCATTTTGCCACAACTTTGGAAGTATGCTTGGGGTCATTGTCCATTTGGAAGACCCATTTGCAACCAAGCTTTAACTTCCTGACTGATGTCTTGAGATGTTGCTTCAATATATCCACATAATTTTCCTTCCTCATGATGCCTTCTATTTTGTGAAGTGTACCAGTCCCTCCTGCAGCAAAGCACCCCCACAGCATGATGCTGCCACCCCCGTGCTTCATATATATATATATATATATATATATATATATATATATATATATAAATAAAAACATGGGGGATTGGAAGTGATGCAGACAATTACATTGATGGAAGTTACAATCTATATGCAATATTAAGCTGATCTACCCCCTAAAACAAATAAAAATAAATAAAAAATACTACTCATCTATATGTGACAACTTCACTAAATTAATTTGTTTGGATGCAACTTTTAAAGGTGTAGTTTAATAGGAGAAACTTTGTATGAGTTGTTCTTCACAATTTGTTGCTGGAAAACAACAGGCCAATACCATGGAGCATGATTGACATTGCTTTACTTTTAAATGCAAAATCAAAGACCATGTTAATTACATGTGCTATACACAAAGCAATGGTAATGACAGGGAAAAATAGATATGCTTCATTCACAAGCGATGAAGGCAGCCAGTTCAGCCAAATGAAAAACTCTTATTTTACAGTGTATCCCTCATGCAAGTTTGTCATGTAATTAATTTAAATAAAGCAAACTCAGATTTGTTTCAGTAAAATAACAGTAATTTGATTTCCACTAATCTCTGGTGTAACCCAAAGCTATGGTCAGGGTCTTAGTTTGTTTTGAGTCTCTTACTTCCCACGTCCTGTGTTGGGTCCTCTGGCTCTCGTTTGGAACCTTTTCCCGTCTTGCCTGCATTGGGTGTTCTCTGCTCTTCGTTGCTTTCAGCAATGACTCCTTTCATCTGTTTAAGCTCCCTCCTCCCTCTCCTCTCCTCCATCTCTCCGATCTCCTCGGCAAACAGGGCTTTGAGGGGCGGGATAAGTCTGGGGAGGATTCTAAAGTCTCCAAACCGGATCTGAGGAGAGACGGGGAAGAGAGATCACCAGGGCTGCCTAAAAACGGTCCCTCACTCACTCAAAGTGGGTCTTTCAAAATACCCAGCCTCCTCTGAGGCAGCTGGAGATGTATCTCTGATGGGAGTCTAACACATTCTGAATGTTACCTTAAAATGGTACATCTAGATTTAAATTGAAGTTGTCCGAGGCATCTTATCCGAGAGTATTCTACCTGGACTAGGGGCACTGGTCTGCTCATATTGTAGTGAATAATGGTCCTAATTCACTCTGAGGTTACACATATCCAGTGGAAAAGTACATTTCAGATGTACAGAACCTGCATAATCATTTCAATGTTGCTATGCATAACAAGTGGACTAAAGTACATAATTCAACACTCACTTACCCTCATGTGGTCAAAAGATATCCCCACTCTGTCGTTGAAGTCCTCACTGAAGAGGGGGATCTTGGCATAGCGCTGGCTGAAGTGGTTCAGCATGATGAACTCGGCATTCATCTTCATGCCAATACCGATGGCCTGGGAGGTGGTACTGTCATTTTGGGAGGCAAGCAGAGAAGCATGATACTACTCTGCTACTATTTTAACAGTGATTACCAGACTTAACCCCATGGTAAACTATACAGAGTTCGTTCAGTTCAATAGTTCAGCTCAATGACTTTCTCTAAAGTCATTATTTCAAGTCGTTTTCAATGCGAGAGGGAGCTCTTTAACCAAAGTCACTGAAATTCCAGCTAGAAGGCAGAAGCGCCCATTGCCTCCAATACAGAGTTCCAAAAATCAATGCCAATCTCAGAGAAGAATGCAGCCAGTTACAATGCCCTCTAAAAATGACTGGCTTTTCAAGAGCTCATTGAGTTTCTTTGTCAGTTGAAAAATGGCACTTGTCTATTTCTGTTTACCTCCTTCAATGCATGTCATATTTCCACACTTCGGGCTGGATTCAATCCATTTCACAGAAGATATGCATTATATCTCGATTGAAATTTAAAGGCAATATCTCCATGTTCGCGGAGACTGCATTCATGGTAAACGCTGCATATGTCGGCTGAATTGGAAATTACCTTTACATTTTTTACGCAGATCTTCCGCGATACGGATTGAATCCAGCCCAAGAAAGCTAGTTTCCTAATAGAATAACACCTCTGAAGAGAAGCACCGTACTAGATCCATCTACTAACCTATGTCTCTTCTCCACAGCCTCGTCCTCCAATCCGTCTTCCAACGTGGCTTCATGAATAAGTAAAGTTGCATTCTTTCCTTTGAAAACACAATGACAAACATGAATCACACAACTGCTGCATGGCGCAGCACTTCCAGCCTCTCTTCCTCTCCCAGAGGAAATCAATCACACAGCTCTGTGTAATAAACCATCAGCCAGCCCTGTTTGTCTGGCACACCCAGGCCTCTATAATGAACAGGCATGGGATATACCCCGGCTCTCTCTGGGAGGCTTCAACTGGATCATATCAAGTCGAACAATTTAAAAAGAGTCAATGAAGTGGGAGACCTTGTGATTCATAGCGAACTTTGGAACCGATCGATAGCATTAAGAAATATCTGGTAAATGATGCCAGACAGCTAGTGCGGAATACAGCATGGATGACAGGTTCAGATCAGACTGGCTACTGTAGATGTCTAGTCCATTAACACTGATCTATATGTATATCATACCACCATCAACTGTGTAGAAGTTATAGAATACACTCTGGGTCCAAAATTCCAGCATGGTTCTGTGGAATGCACGTAACGGCAAATCAAATGGCATTTGTGAGTATTTACCATTTGATCCGGACGTCACAAGTGTGGTTCACAGAGTGTGTAAATCTTTTCACATCACACAAATTCTGGGAGCTGTACAAACATCACAATTGGGGTCGAGAACTGTTGGTACTGACCCATATGTGCGAGGGCATCGCAGGGCATTGTGTCCCCAGAGAAGACCAGCTGCCAGCCAGACTGGTGAGTGATGCTGCAGGCAAAGGCATTCTTACAGTGACGCACCGGACAAGTCTGGAACTATGAGAGAAACAGAATATACAGTATGTATTTAAGCTTTGATGACAGCCTCAATAAACAGTCATTGAACCTAACAAGAGTGTTTTGAGTCTTATTGAACCACGAAGCAGCCTGTTCAAGTCTCTACATACCTTTTCTAAATCAGATTTCTTCAGCAGTGCTTGGATGAATGACTTGGTTTTGAACTTGGACACCTCAGCCCCCTCACACATGACTTTGCTAGGGACAATGCTGTAACATAGTAAAGAATACATCAATATTAGAGACGATGGACATCATATCAGGTCTGAAAGCATCAATTCAATAGAGTAAGACGTGTCTTTCCTGACATACTTGACATGGCTGAGGATCTCCTCACAGTGGTCATGGTACTGGTTGAGCCAGGTCATCATCTGGACAGGGGCTACCAGATAGATGGGGCTGAAGGCTTTCCCAAGAGTTGTCTGAACAGTAAAGAGATAAGGACATATATTCCATTTTGCATGACTCATCTTAAAATCTGAAAAAGGGAAACTCTTTACTGACCAAGGCTCTCTCCCTTTGAAACAGCAAACTCAACAATCCCTGGAAAATAAAGTGAAATTATTTTTAAATTCTTTGGAAATAAAATGTATGCCAGAATATATGCTATAACTCTATAATAAACATATATTTCTGGGAAAAATAACCCTTACTGTGTGATGGTCCGCGTGCATGTGAGAGATGAAGACTGTTGAGATCTTTGCAAGAGTCTCGTCCACACTGTCCCCATAGTGTCGGCACAGCTGGCCAAAGGTGCCCTCTCCACAGTCCAGCAGCACTGACTGAGTGGCACTGAAGGAGATGGGATATATCATAAACACAGAGAGACAGACAGACAGTTATACTGGCTACCTCACACAGAAATATCTTTAAGGGAATTATTTTATTTTTATATGAGCCTAACTGAGGGCCATTACCTAATGTTGACCAAGTTGCCACTGACATTCCTGATCTTCATTGGAAGAGCCGATCCAGTTCCTAAAAAGACCACCTCTGGGTATTTTTCTGCCCGCCCTGCAAGAAACAACACATTATCATACTGTACAACATCATTTTTCTATGCCACTGAAATTTGAGATGTAAAACTATGATACTCTATAAGACAAAAATACTACAGGAAACTAAACTCAGTTACTTTTTTAAATGCCCAGTGTGAAATGTTTGCAACTCCACTCAAGAGGAGTAAAGAGAAATCGATGGAGCTTTGTTGGACTGAGCCTTGTAACATCTCCTCCTGGGCTTCTAGCCTGACCTGTCCCAGAGCAGGGCTCACCAGACAGCACTGCAGCATCAGTCGCACGGAACCGCTTGCACTCCTCCACTTCTTGGAGGAAGTTAGGGGCCTCCGCAGCCTCTTTCACAAACTCTTCAGTGTCACAAGAGGGGATTGCATCTCTAATGAATAAGAACAGTAGAACACACACACCACTCATCACATACTGCTGAGAGGGGCAGGGACGCTCTCATTTGACTTTGACTGTTTTGGCATTTACAAGATCAGAGAAGAAACAGTAAGCCATGCTTGAAAGTAGTGTTTCATCTGAAATGGTTTTCTTTGACAAAGCAGCCCTTTGTAAGTGCAGACTAATGTCTGATAAATTGTGGCCTGAAGGACAGACTCACCTTTGCCATTCAATCTTGGGTCTGAGTTGGAACTTCAGCAGACACTCGGCTCTGACATTGGGGACATGCAGGGCAGCCTGGGTCTCCTTGAGAAGAACAACAACAGTCAGAAGTTTTACAAAAACAAGAGTAGAAACAGATTAGCACAACACAATGCAAGCTACAAAAGGTTTCCAAATGAACACGCTTATCTCTGTGTAGCAGCAGGTTACAATGGTGAATAATTAAAGTTCTAGCACTTCACAACTTACCTTTGTTTTATAGTGCTTGAGCTCTGGAAATATCTCTGGATGAATCAGATTGAGCTGAGTCTGAATCTTGTGGCTCCTAACGTTGTGAACAGTGCAAACTTGTTCATTCAGGATCAGGTGCTCAGTGGTGGATGGAAACCTAAAATACAAAACCACACAAAAACATTAAACATGTAGAAAGACCAACATAAAACACAGAGAGAAGACAATAGCAGAATATGGAATATGTAAACAGTCTGAAACTGAGTATTACATATGGCTGATTTTGTACCTTTCCATCCATTGCTTGTATTCATCTGTTTTCAGCACAGACTCTGGGGTCATGTGGACCACTAAGGCAGCAGGGTCCTCTGTTCCTCCACTTTGGTATCTGCAGATGAGACAAATAACTCAGAACTTAACTAACTACTATCTCCTAAAGAAGGCCTGAGGAGTAATAACGCAGGATGCAGAAGCAGACTTCGGACACATTTGGCCAACTTCGCTCAGGCCATTACCTGCTCAGCTGCTGATTGATGCAGATTGGTTGAACAAACTCCTCAGAGGGACACTCCACAACAATGAAGGCTGGTCCTGGATCAGTGGGAGTGCACACCTCTTCAGGATGGATCTGTAGGACAACCATCAGGATATCTTCAGACAACAAGATGAAATGTATCTAACATTTACAATAGCTAATCCAAAATTCCAGAGCCCTAACAATCAACCAAATATATTTGAAGTACCTCTCTTCCTTCGTAGGTCACACTTTTCCCATCCTTCAGAGCTGCAATGAGAGGACCAATAGCTGCAGTGCCTCTGTGGAGAAAGTGAATGAAAAAAATAATTATCGGCACAAGTTTGTTGAGCAGGCAAAACTGAATTTGTATTGAAATATCAACTTACACTGGTAATCCAAGGTCTTTTGCTTGAGCAACCAAGAAATTCCCCTTCTTAGGATGAAGCTGCAAGTCAAGGATAAAATGTGACAAAATGCAATCATTCAGTATGTCACGGAGACAATGAGATTGTGTTTCTTACCTTACAAATGAATGCCACAACTAAAGACGGATCCCTTGTTGCTCTTGCTTTTCCACCTGAGAGGAAAATGCAATGTGAGAAATGGTTCTCTTTGGAGCTCAACATCCTTGAACTTGGGCAGCGATGCCCCTGATAGCGCTGCATGCTCCTTTAGTCTCGTGGGTCATCCTTCCCAATCTCTTCCCGTTGACTTGACTATTGGAAGTCTGTATAACTTTAGTATTGAATTTTGCGTTTGAACAGGAGCGCTGGCTGGGTTAACACCTGCATTTGATTGGCTCAGAGTATAAATTATATTTTCATTTAGGAGAGGCATTTCCTTGTGTTTATTTTTTATTTTTCCTTGTTTGTTCGTCCATATCTCTTTTCCTACTGTGTCGTACAAAGTTTTAGCAGCCTATGGGGCGTTACTGTTTTGTATTTTATGCTAGCTAGCTTTTTGCAAGTCAGAAACACAACCTGTTTGGAGCTCCATCCTTGCGAAATACTTGATTGGTTTGATAAGTGTCACTAGTTTCCATCTAGACTCCACCGTACTTCACCCCTTTTTATCGTCTTCATGAGAACTTCCTCAGGCTTTATAACAGTCAGAGCGTGAGAAGCCTGGGCTTCCGAGCCTACATGCTCCTAGTCTTACCTGGGCTGGTTGCTCTCTCCCTCCTGCTGTCTGTGCTGGTGTCCTCAGAGTCCTCTGGCCGCCACAGCTCCCTCCTCTGGGGACTACTGGAGGGGCTGCTCCTCCCTGAGTTAGGGGAGCACTTTGGCCCGTCCTCTCTGAGCTGGGCTGGTACAATTGGTGTTAAGAGAGTGTCAACTACCAACTCTTCAGCATGAGAACACAAATATTCACTATTTTACCCGTCATAAACTAATATGCTTTAAGATAAAGAGTATGAGTAACAGTCAATTACTCAAATACAAAGGGGTTTTCTAGTACTCACCAAATATTGGTATTTGACTAACTGTCATTGTGTCATCTGTGTATTGTTTCTCAGTGTATGGTCGAACAGCTAGCTTGATTTCTTCCAGTGGTCCAGAAAATACTCTGATGGCATTCACATATTTCTCCTAGATCAAGAGGAGGCAATGACATACAGTGGGAAAAAAATGTATTTAGTCAGCCACCAATTGTGCAAGTTCTCCCACTTAAAAAGATGAGAGGCCTGTAATTTTCATCATAGGTACACGTCAACTATGACAGACAAATTGAGGAGAAAAAATCCTGAAAATCACATTGTAGGAATTTTAATGAATTTATTTGCAAATTATGGTGGAAAATAAGTATTTGGTCACCTACAAACAAGCAAGATTTCTGTCTCTCACAGACCTGTAACTTCTTCTTTAAGAGGCTCCTCTGTCCTCCACTCGTTACCTGTATTAATGGCACCTGTTTGAACTTGTTATCAGTATAAAAGACACCTGTACACAACCTCAAACAGTCACACTCCAAACTCCACTATGGCCAAGACCAAAGAGCTGTCAAAGGACACCAGAAACAAAATTGTAGACATGCACCAGGCTGGGAAGACTGAATCTGCAATAGGTAAGCAGCTTGGTTTGAAGAAATCAACTGTGGGAGCAATTATTAGGAAATGGAAGACATACAAGACCACTGATAATCTCCCTCGATCTGGGGCTCCGCGCAAGATCTCACCCCGTGGGGTCAAAATGATCACAAGAACGGTGAGCAAAAATCCCAGAACCACACGGGGGGACCTAGTGAATGACCTGCAGAGAGCTGGGACCAAAGTAACAAAGCCTACCATCAGTAACACACTACGCCGCCAGGGACTCAAATTCTGCAGTGCCAGACGTGTCCCCCTGCTTAAGCCAGTACATGTCCAGGCCCGTCTGAAGTTTGCTAGAGTGCATTTGGATGATCCAGAAGAGGATTGGGAGAATGTCATATGGTCAGATGAAACCAAAATAGAACTTTTTGGTAAAAACTCAACTCGCCGTGTTTGGAGGACAAAGAATGCTGAGTTGCATCCAAAGAACACCATACCTACTGTGAAGCATGGGGGTGGAAACATCATGCTTTGGGGCTGTTTTTCTGCAAAGGGACCAGGACGACTGATCCGTGTAAAGGAAAGAATGAATGGGGCCATGTATCGTGAGATTTGGAGTGAAAACCTCCTTCCATCAGCAAGGGCATTGAGATGAAACGTGGCTGGGTCTTTCAGCATGACAATGATCCCAAACACACCCCGCCCGGGCAACGAAGGAGTGGCTTCGTAAGAAGCATTTCAAGGTCCTGGAGTGGCCTAGCCAGTCTCCAGATCTCAACCCCATAGAAAATCTTTGGAGGGAGTTGAAAGTCCGTGTTGCCCAGCGACAACCCAAACATCACTGCTCTAGAGGAGATCTGCATGGAGGAATGGGCCAAAATACCAGCAACAGTGTATGAAAACCTTGTGAAGACTTACAGAAAACATTTGACCTGTGTCATTGCCAACAAAGGGTATATAACAAAGTATTGAGAAACTTTTGTTATTGACCAAATACTTATTTTCCACCATCATTTGCAAATAAATTCATTAAAAATCCTACAATGTGATTTTCTGGATTTTTTTTCTCATTTTGTCTGTCATAGCTGACGTGTACCTATGAGGAAAATAGACTCAGGATACCACAAAAACAATTGACTTATTACAGACAATATTTTATACTGCTACAATGTCCACTCACCAGTTGTGGTGGTCCAGAGAGAACAACCTCAGGGACACCAGTGTCTTTCAGTGTCAATATCATCCCTAAACCAGAGAGTACACAGTTTACCACACCTAAGGACATACGCGGAGACATAGGCTAATCATGCAATAAGCTTTGACCTATGTATATCTACAGTCATGTGAAAAAGTAAGTACACCCCCTGGAAAGTGGCCTTTTATTTTGTACATATTTGGACAGATGGATATTTAATCTTCACTTCAACACTATTGACAGATAAAGGTAACCTAATTTAACAAATGACACTGAAAGATTATACTTTGCAATCATTTATTCATCAAAAATCAACAGAAATGCAATTTCATAGTGCAGAAAAAATAAGTACACCCCTAGCTTCAATTGACCCCAATTTGGCTGAAATAACTAGTAGCCGTTTCTTGTAACTGTCTATCAGTCTCTTACATCGACTGGGAGGAGGAATTTTTGCCCACTCTTCTTTACAGTACTGCTTCAACTGTGTCATGTTCGAGGGCTTTCTTGCATGCACAGCCCGCTTCAAGTCCCCCCACTGCATTTTGACAGGATTGAGATCTGGGCTTTGACTCTGCCATTCCATAACCCTCCATTTCTTATTTTTGAGCCATTCTGTTGAAGCTTTGCTTGTGTGTTTTGGATCATTGTCCTGTTGCAAGATCCATGTTCAGTTTAGCTTCAGCTTTTTGACAGATGGCCTCACATTCTCCTCAAGAATTCTCTGGTACAATATTGAATTCATGGTTGACTCAATAATGGCAAATTGGCTAGGCACTGAGGCTTTACGGTTGGTATGAGGTTCTTCTGTTCAAAGGCAGTGTTTCGTTTTAGCCAAACATGGTGTCTGGCATTGCGGCCAAACAACTCTACCTTTGACTCATCTGTCCAGAGCACATTGTTCCAGTAGTTTTGGTCTTTACCCAGGTGTTGTCTGGCAAACGTCAGTCGTGTCTTGATATTCTTTTTTGAGAGCAGAGGCTTCTTCCTTCCTGACCTTCCATGTAGGCCAAGTTTGTGCAGTCTCTTTCTGACAGTTGACTCATGCACTTCGACATTGATTGTGGCAAGAGTGGCCTGTAGACCCATTGATGTTACCCTGGTTCATAGAGACTTCTGTGAGCATCTTTCAGTCGGCTCTTGGGCTGATTTTGGAGGGACAACCTGTCCTAGGTAGATTGCCAGTGGTCTGGAATTTTCTCCATTTGTAGATGATCCGTCGGACAGTGGAATGATGTACTTCGAATTGCTTGGAATTGGATTTGTAACCCCTCCCAGACTCATGGGCATCAATAATATTTCTTCTGAGGGCCTCGAATAGGCCTTTTGATCTTGGCATGATGTTTTACCACACACCCATATGGTTAAGGCCAAACCAGACCAAGTTTCTAATCTTTATGGAAGGCTGGACCCTCCCAGGTTACTCTCTAATGATTTGCACCTGCTTTGGTGTACCTGATTCTAATTTTAGCCATTTTATGTGATGGTAGGGGTGTACTAACTTTTTCTGCATAAGGAAATTGAAATGTAAAAAAAAAATGGAGTGGATGTGTTGACTCATGCAGTGTAAAATAACTTGATTTGTTAAATTGGGTTACCTTTATCAATGAATGTGGTTGGAATTTAGCTCAAATATCTGTGTCCAAATATGTAAAAAATAAAAATAAAGACCACTTTCCATGGTGTACTTACTTTTTCACATGACTGTACATGGAGACATCGGCTAATAAGCTTTGATCTATGTCTATTATCTATGCACAGTTGTTTCCAGGTTGACAGATGACTGACTTGATGTAAAGTGGATAGAATAACAAGCAACTTACCTGATAGACCACCAACATTCTCCCAACTCATTCTAGTGAGGAAAATATTGTCCAAGCGAGCAGCTTTTAACCTGACAAGAGGAACATTGTTGAGATTTATTGAGCTGAGACTGAATGATGGATTTTAGTGGAACATTGACAGGAGGCAATTCAACTTACTTGTGCTCTTGCATCAGCCTCTGTGTTCCCTCACCACAGTTGAATAGGTACCTTCCAGAGAGGAAAAAGGGTAAACAAATATGCTGCAGCCAAGTGCCTTTCTGATACCCACTATACAAATATATTTGGCAACGTTACAACAAATTGTCAGACACTCATGTTCTCAGGTTTAGTTACCTATTGAACTCAGAGAAGACATAAAGTGATGCGCCATTATCTCGGCTCCCTGCCCCGACGACCTGCGCGTAGACAGTGGCTGGTCCATGCACATCCACTCCACGTTTCCTCTGTTCTCTAGACTTCACATGTCGCAATGTTTCTTTGGGTACTCTGGGTTTCTTTGGTCCCCAATTTTGGTTGTCTGTTGTGTTCGTAGACATTGTCCGCAGAAACTGGAAAATAGTCCGGGGAAAACGATGTTCACTGCATGCGATGCTTTGTAGGCGACCCGTAGATGTGTGTCTCACAAATAGCCACCCAATAAACTTACAGTGTAGAGACACTTTAGTCATACTAAACATTCGGTTTAATGGAAGCTAGTTCTGCTCGTCGTACAAGACAGCACACTTATCAATAATCATTGCATAATATTTATGAAAATATAATTGTACCTATCAGCACACGTATCATTGAAATATAAACATTCAGTCAGGACTTCAGAGGTTGAGACATGTGATTTGACGCTCAACTGTGTTTCTTCCGGCGTAGAATGATGACGTCTTCATCACACTCTCGATCATTGGTGTGTTAACTCATGTGGGAGGTCTCACTGTTCTTATGCATTGATATGCAATATAGCAATAAAACAACCAATAAATAAACTGGAGCATTTTTGATAAAAGCAAATAATATCTGACAATGTTCCCTTCAGTAATATAACAGAGCTTATCAATAGCCTCATATGTAGCAGGCCAGGTAGCCCTATAAATTGTATGGCAAATTCATGATGTTAATACTAAACATTTACATCTGGATAGTTATATATATATATATATAATTAATTTAAAATACAATATCCAAATGTAAATGTTCATTATTGATATCATGAATTTGGAGTCGTATTTCTAGGGCTACAGACTCTTCACGCTGGCTTGTGAAAAGAGAGGGACACCATTTTGGGCTATTTGTCTTATTTGACCATTTATCCTGCTAGCTCGTACCCCATGACCCCTGAAATAAGCTATTAATTAATGCAATATTGACATTGCTATTTCTTTGCATATCAATCTTTTTCATATTTAAATGTTTCTTCATATTGTGCTTTCAGACTTACAGGCCATCACTTTCCCTTATTGTGCAGCAATTATCCTGACCTGAAGGAATGGACTAAATCATTGATTACAAAAGCGATAGAGCAAACTAGTAAATAAGGTCTTACATAATGTGTTTCAAAATGCTCCATTGCCACTTGCCAGAGTTACTCTGCATGAACACCAATAAGGCAAATCCCTGTACATGTTTTATTTGTTGGATAGTTCTTACATTTTTCTGTGACACCAAGCTCAAAATGTACACTCTTATTTTCAGTAGATGAAAGATAAAATAAAAAATGTGATACATCATTAAAATTAAATCATCATCCTTATATTTCATAAGCTTATTTTAATATCCTCAGGTCATTAAAGATTTTACATATTCTGCCCAGCAAGATATTCTAATTGTAATGTTCTACAGTAAAACTGCAAACATTTGAATGCATGTTGTAGGCAATGATATCCAGCCAATGTAATAATAAATAAATAGTTTACTACTGTACCAGTATTTTACCAGCAGTCAACTAAGTTTCCATTATATCCAGTAATACCCCCCAAAAAAGTGAACTACACTGTGTACTGAAACCTCTAGATTCTGTGTACATTGTGAATATTATAGGAGTCAATCAATCACAGTCAGAACACCGTTCAGGTGCCATGCATTTAAGAAACAAATACTGGCATATCAGCTGAAATCATTAGGGGCCGGTCAGGTGCATTAGAACGGTAGCAACATCCAGCTGTAATCAGAACAGTAGGCAATTTCATTACAGATAAATGTGTGGCTCTATACAGGGATACAAGATGGCATTATGAATAATTACAGATCAACAGCACCATACATACATACAGCTTAGCTTTTAAAGAGAAAGTGTTGCATATGCCATGGCTGAGAGAGCCAGTGAGTGTGTTTGTTTGTGTGGATGCTTGCCTTCCTACATCAGAATGGATTAACCTGAGCTCACATAGATGCAGAGTAACTAAATGTCTCTCAAAGCACAATTATTTATTTCTCTCTTTTTATTTATATATCAGCACAAAGATCCATTGCACAGTGACGGCAGCACCCTCACAACATTGGATGGAGGCCACATGATCCTGTCCATCAATGCTGTTACCTTTTAAATTGCTTTACACCCTAAGAAGCAATGTTTCATTTAAGATACCAAACACAATGCTTAAAGTCACATACATGGAAGAGGTGGGAAGATTCACAAAGAGCATGATTCCAGTATCTCCAAATCATATGTTCCACAAGTGATTAAACACTATAAATACATTTCCAGATTTTAAATCACCGCACTGTATCCACATTAGAGATGACGTCTCACATCGAGATGAACCAAGACCATGGTATATTCATTCAGTTACTAGTGTACTTACATGTAAGTGTGTTTGTGTAGGAGAGATAGAGAAGTGTGTGAATGTTGATATCATACAGACGTGACTGAACACCAGTCTTAGTACACGTGGTGTTTTAGTTTGTCCATTTCCTGTCTTAGTTTAACACTGCAGTATGGGATGAAGAAAATCTTTAGGCCATTGTTTTGTTGTTGTTGTTCCAGGCTTCCGTTTCTACTTGTTCTACAGTCAGTCGACGTACATGGGGGAGCTGGGAGAAGTAGGCATCTGATCCAGGATTCTGCAGACGTAACTGGCAACATCCACTGAGCGCTCCTCATACATCAGTATGAAAGCATGTTTCTGTATTGAAGAGACAAACAGAAGGAGCATGTTTTAACATGTAATAATATGTAGAGGTGATAAGTATATCTCTGCATGTAATACAATTACATTAATTAATATTTAGTCATTTAGCAGACGCTCGTATGCATACATTTTCATACCTTCCCCCCGTACCGTGGGAATCGAACCTAGAACTGCAAGTGCCATTCTCTACCAACTGAGCCACACAGGATGTACATACTTACCAGAAGCTCTTTGTACTTTGGCCTTTTTGACTCATCCTTTGTAAGGCTAAAGGGGGGAAAGCGAATAAATAATTACAATTCTGCTCTGCAAATACACTAAACTACATCATGGTTCTCCTTGAGACGCTTAAAACTGAGACATTACATGTTTTGTCCACCAGGGGGACATCAAATCCAGAGGATGTCTCATGCAAAAAATGCAGAGGTATTACCTTGTGTAATTCACCATATTTTTGTTATTTGTTGGTGAATACTGCGAAAGCATGCAGTAGTTTACATTGACAATATTGCTCTGCAGTGATTCAATGTACTTCAACTTATATTATATCACATGAAAATAACATTGAAGCTGTGCCAGCAGAAGCTGTCACTTTGTCCTTTACCACAGATTGACAAAGTTGATGAATTTGGGGGAGAACTGCCTGTCTTCTGAGTTGGTAAGCTGTGGAGGTTCTCCCTTCACCACCTGTGTCAACTGGTCAAACACACTGTTCCACTTTGGGTAGGGAAACCGTCCGGTCGCCAGCTCATACTGCAAAAAAAACACAAAGACAACATGGTGAGTCTACAGTTACTTTGAAAGATTTACAATATTACAAAAACACTTTAAGAAGAATATACTATCTTGTGGTTTTAACATTCAGTGTATCTTCAAATAGCTTTTTGAATGTTAAAGACAAAGTGGACAAGAGGGTTGAGGACCCACCAGTGTGATCCCCAAACTCCATACGTCTGATCGGACGTCATAGCCTTGTCTGGAGGCACTGGGGTCTATTCTCTCAGGCTGTGGACGAGACATGGAAAACATTTTACAATTCATCATAGTGATATCATATATGGGCCTATAAAGAGAAAAACTAAAATTAAGTACAAATAAAATAATGTTCAAAATAGACAACTTGGCAAAACAATCCAAATGGAGACTTGTGAGACACTCAAGTGTGTATACAGTATACAGTCCTCACCATATGCATTTGGACAGTGAAGCTCATCTTATTTTGGCTCTATACTCCAGTATTTTGGATTTGAATCAAATTATGACTATGAAGCGAGGGTATAAAATAACACCATATATGAGTGTATTTTCATACGTATCTGTTTTATCCTTTAGAAATAAAAGCACTTTATGTATCTACTTCCCCCATTTGAAGAAATCACAAGTATTTGGACAAATTCACAGTAACCTAAAAAGGTTCGTTTTTGGTTCCATTTCATTTTCACACAATAACTGCATCAAGCTTGTAACTTTATAAACGCTTTGGATGCATTTGCAGTTTGTTTTGGTTGTGTTTTAACTTTTAGGTCAGGTCTTGTTCAATTGTAAGTGAATGGTGAATAGTAGTGATGGGAAACCAAGGCTTTCTGAAGGCTTCGGTGCCCTCACCAAATTGTGCCGAAAAACTGTTCATTACTCAGAGCTTCATTATCTGTTCACAATGTTCATTAGTGACATCTGCTGGTCTGCAATAAATAGCAGTGTGATTATCAGATAATATTTATTTCTCCACTGTTTTCATCAAAATTCTGTGCCACAACGGTAAATCGTTGGATTTAGTAGCCTATGATCAGTTGGAATACCAGGTTCACATCTTACATCATACTTCCCTTTATTGCCCTTCAAGTTTACTATTTTTCAAAAACGGAATCTATGGCATTATTTGGGATGCTTAAGACAGAAACTTATATTATACAAAATAAAACAAATTATTTGAACAACAGTGCAGAAAGTGTGATTTCACATAAAATAATTTTCTAAATAGTGTCTTCAATGGTATTCGGGAGACTCATGGGCGGCGCACAATTGGCCCAGCGTCGTCCAGGGTAGGGGAGGGAATGGCCGGCAGGGATGTAGCTCAGTTGATAGAGCATGGCGTTTGCAACGCCAGGGTTGTGGGTTCAATTCCCACGGGGGGCCAGTATAAAAAAATATGTATTCACTAACTGTAAGTCGCTCTGGATAAGAGCGTCTGCTAAATGACTAAAATGTAAAATGTAAATGTATTCGACCTCATACCCTCCCGTCACTGTATGTTCCATATTTCCCTACTCTACCTCCTAAGCTACTTTAAGGTGAAACTACATGTACAAAACTACAGTTGGAAGTACGATGTACAGTAGAAGTCGGTGTTTGAAAGCAGCTTAGATTTGAAGAAAGCACCGGAACCCAGTGGGATCTCGCATTTTGCGACACACGGTTTGAAAAAGCACATGATCAAACGATGTTCGGACATCATGGATGACATACTTCTCGCATCCGCACACTGCTTCGAAGTTAGCTGCTTAGCGATTTGCCTCGGAGCTCCGGTATCAAACCTAAACATCACTAGTGAATAGATTCACTGTCCAAATACATATGGTGAGGACTGTATTATTGAGTGCATTAATTATCATAGGCACTCAATTCTGTCTATTCAACAGAATACAACATACACATAAGGGCTGACCCCATTTAGTCAACTGGTCGATTGTTTAGTTGATAGGCTGTTGGTCGACCAAGATGTTTTTAGTAGAGCAGTCGCAAATACGTATTTATTTATTTTATGGCACACCTGTATGATTTGCGCCTGTCTGAGTGGACTAATCCATTGAGGAGGACGCGGGGCTGACACGGTCCTAGAAGAAGGGGAGTGTGGCTACGATCAGAGAGGAAGAGAGGCCCAACTCGGCGGAAAATCTGTCTCCCGCCAGCAGGTGCGTTTTTTTTGTACCTTGTCAGTATATCCATAATCTTTAGTAAGATGCACAAGGCACGTCTCTCTCCAGAATGCGCGCCCTCCTACCATTTCGTGCGTGTTCATTGTTTCATAACTTAATTGTGTGAATTGTTTGCCCTTTAATTATTAGTGTCTATCAATTCCCCATTACATATCACCAGTAGTAGCCTACATTTACCATTAATTCCCATAATGTCGAATCTACAATGTTTGGTTAGGGTAATTTCTGTTAATGTATTCAATATATTATTATAATTATAGTTGTTTACCATTGTCATTGTCAGAGTGGACACGTTTGCAGAGCTCACCACCTATGCTACTGTCTGATAGTATTTCTGAATGTCTTAACTCACCATCACTAATGAGCTGTGGAGCTTCTCAAATAAAAAATGTATTGACCTCAAACAGCAAGTAAACAAAGTCTGTTTTTAGAATCCATTGAGAATGACAGTAGGTACTCAAAGTATTAGAAAAATATTTCCAGCTCTCTCCCTTCCAATAACCACTTGGCATGAAAGGAAACAATGTAATGCTCTGATCCAGTGGAAACGTCATAAAATACCTGATTACTTCTTATCCCACAGCCTACAGCTGTGTATGTCCCTGTTGTGGGAAACTGAGGGCTCAGAATATTTGATACAATGTTGCAAGTTGGCTAGCGCTAGCTTCGGGCAGGACAGTTGATACATTTCAAGTTTGTTGAAGACAGGCCATGCTTAAAAAATTTGATTTATAGGATATTTATTTTAAATCATGATATTTTCTACCTGCAAGCTGCAACGTTTTTATTTGTTGGCTTTATGTAGGCTATTCTTACATAGTGCAGCAGCGGGAGGAGGGTCGGGAACAGGTTTTTTTCTTCTGGTTAGGCCATCTTGATCACTGGCTCCCTCTAGTCATTTGTGTGTCTTAATTATTTAATCAAACTGTGCTTAAAGCACCAGACAAGCTCAGTACATATAGTTGATTTTAATCAAACAAATTTAGTCCAATAGAATGGTCGAAATAAAATACTAATCTTGGTCGACTGATCCTCATTGCCTGGTTCTACATGCCTTACATACTAACCACCTCAGCCAGTTACTTCATGTATGACCTCACCTCCAGACATAAACAAGACAAGGCAATGCAGTGGTTCCAAACAGTGCCAAGGTCATCAGCAGCAGACTTCTACCAGCCATGCTGCTGAGTGGAGGGAGCACCTCCTCTCCTCTGGCCCATTCATTCATGCACCAGAATTAGATGATGATGTCACCCACACAGCAGTGGGACAGACTGCTCTGACTGCTGCACTGATGTGTTTTATGGCATAGTGGCTACAGCACCAGCTCACATCTGCCAAGACTGAAAAACATCTGGCTGCCCAGCTCTCACCTAGGACACAGTTCACAGCTCCTCAGACCTGTTATTAACTCAAAACAACCCAGCTACTCAGACCTACTACACTGAGTGCACAAAATATTAAGAACACCTGCTCTTTCCATGAGACTGACCAGGTGAAAGCAATGATCCCTTATTGATGTCACTTGTTAAATCCACTTCAATCAGTGTAGATGAAGGGGAGGAGACAGGTTAAAGAAGGATTTTAAAGCCTTGAGACAATTGAGACATGGATTGTGTATGTGTGCCATTCAAAGGGTGAATGGGCAAAACAAAATATTTAAGTGTCTTTGAACGGGGTATGGTAGTAGGTGGCAGGCACACCGGTTTGTGTCAAGAATTGCAACGCTGCTGGGTTTTTCACGCTCAACAGTTTACAGTGTGTATCAAGAATGGTCCACCACCCAAAGGTCATCCAGCCAACTTGACAACTGTGAGAAGCATTGGAGTCAACATGGGCAAACCCAGCATCCCTGTGGAACGCTTTTGACACCTTGTAGAGTCCATGCCCTGACAAATTGAGGCTGTTATGAGGGCAAAAGGTGGGGGGGGTGCAACTCAATATTAGGAAGGTGTTCTTAATGTTTTGTACACTCAGTGTATATTATCAACTCAAAACAACATCGGTGCAGATTTTAATTTGGATGTGTAATTGCTTTCAATTATGTAAAGTATTTCCTAATTTAAAAAACTGAACTGCTGATTTAAGAGACAGTTTGCTTTGGTACATAATGGTAGTAGCAACAGTAAGCTGACTACAGTGTATTAGTGAGCATATTCCAATATAATAAATATTCCAGACATGTGGCCACTTGCCAGCTAAATGAACTAAATCATAACAACCAGAGAGGAACAGAGCCAGACTGTCACCTAAACCACATACCATGAACCAAATCAAGCCTACTTAATTGTAGTGTAGTACATAATATTCTATTGAAGTGAAATCAATCCCTCTCTAATACCTAGACCAAACAGAGACAAAAATTGTGCTAAAGCAATTAGCAATGGGGTGGCCAAGAAGCACCCAGCAGGGCTGCCATTTTTCTATTGGAAACAGGAAACTGGAGCCATGTGGCTTGGATTCCTGCACTGTGAGCTCACAGCTGTGGGAGCACCAACCCAAACTGCTTTATTCTGACAGACATGAATGAAGTAACCCAGCCCTTCCTTGGCCTTCCGGTAGACACGTGGCAGAGGTGTGCCAAATTTAGAATGGAAACTGGAGGGGCCGGGGCTCCCTTCTCCCATCAGCAATACCCCCGCCCCCGGCAGAAAATAAACCCTGTGATGACGACACGATGAGCTCATTCCACTAGATGACTTCAACTATGTCACACACACACACGGCATGAGGTTACTCTGCAGCTAGTCCAGAATAGGAACGAGACAACAAGCACAGATATCAGTAGCGACCATAATTATATCACTAACAATGCCACTATCAACAATAGGGAAATGGGAATCAGAGAGGTGCGGGGGCTGCCTTAAATTGAGTCCACGTCATCGGCGCCCGGGGAGCAGTTGTTGTTGGGGGTTAACTGCCTTGCTCAAGGGCAGAATGACAGATTTTTCCACCTTGCCGGCTCGGGAATTCGAACCAGCGACCTTTCGGTTACTGGCCCAACACTCTTAACTGCTAGACTACCTGCCTCCCCTCAATAACAGTAGTGTTGTCTCCTTACAACTGGCGATCACCACCAACAGTTACTCTAAGTACGAAAACAATTGAATGCTAATTATGTACTGGATGGTGTGAAAGTTAAATGTATTCTTAGAAAGAGCCTTAGTTGTACATCTTGCACATGTCTTTCAGCCATTAATGAAATTGCACTGAAATCCCCATATCACTTACTGCCATGTATGGTCTGCACCCTGCATCTCTGGTTTTGGCGATGGAGTCCACCAGCTGGCCACTGATGCCAAAATCACAAAGCTTAATGTTGCCATTCCTGTCCAGGAGGATGTTGGATGGCTTGATGTCTGAGAGGAGAAACGTATAGAAGAGATAACAAAGCTAGGCTAAGAGTTCTGGATAAAGGAAGTGCCACTTCTGTTGTGGTACAGTAAATAGAGCATTGTGAGGTAATAACGGAAATACACATCTCAAATGAGGAAGTAAAGAACAAGGCCTCCATTCTGGAGTCGTCTTACCTCTGTGAATTATTTTCAAGTATTCTTTTAAGTGGTTAAGTGCTTTCACAGTCTGTAATGAAAACACATAGCAACTAAATGAATACATAGAAATATGTACCCATTCCTGTCAAAAATCTGTGTAAATTAGGTAAGGAGATAATGCATGAAACTTACAGCTAATGTTATTTTGCCTAATATTTCCTCTGGAATCACATCATCTAAAGCACAATATACATATTTGTAGAATTTGTCGAACGAGGTAGACATAAGTTCCATACATATCCAACAGTCCCCCTGAAAAAGAAAAGAATCACAAGACATAACATACCCACGTGAAGACAATACACTGCTTATTGCTAACTATACAGAACGACTGATTTACATCCAATGCATTTACTGTATAGAGAAATCAATCAACAAAACAAAGAAGTGAAAAACTTGCACGGTCACCTCTCTGAAAAGAGCCCCGTAAAACTGGACTATGTAGAGACAGTCACTACTCCTCATGACCACATCCAGGTCCATCAGCAGCTGCTTCTGTTCTTTCTCATCAACCGTTGACCTAATCCTCTGTGGGAGACACACATGGCAATCAGATGCATGTTGCTTTCAATTGTGACCATGGTTGGAAGTCACAGGAGGTTGGTGGCACCTTAATTGGGGAGGACGGGCACATGGTAATGGTTGGGGTGGAATAAGTGGAAAGGTATCAACAACATCAAACACATGGTTTCCATTTACTCTGTTCCAGCCATTATTACGAGCCTTCCTCCCCTCAAAAGCCTTCACTGTTGGAAGTTTACCATGAGCAACATGTTACAATATCCTGCAATTGGAGTCAGTTACCCTTTGGTGATTATGACGATTACTCAGTGTTCATTTCACAATATAGCCTTTAGTAGTGATGAGCCGGTATAAATCTTGCCCTGAACACTTCCTGTAGTTTAGTCAATAAGAGGTCAGTGAGGGCAGTCACCTTGACAGCCATTATCTGGTTGCTGGGCTTGTGCACCATCTTGTTGACAGAGCCGTAAGCGCCCCGCCCAATCTCCCCCAGGTCCTTGAGGTCCTCAGCCGTGAAGTCACAATCACCGCCGGCGGTCTTCAACTTCCCTGACGACTCGATACTATGTGTCCGCAGCCTCTCTCTGGCCACAGAAATAGGTGGGAGACAGATAAGAAACACAATCTTTGTTAGTTTAGCTAATTTCACCTCAATCATATACTGAACAAAAATGTTACCGCAACATGCAACAATTTCAAAGATTTAGCTGAGTTACAGTTCATGTAAGGAAATCAGTCAATTTAAATAAATAAATGAGGCCCTAATCTATGGATTTCCCATGACTGGGCAGGGGCGCAGCCATGGGTGGGCCTGGGAGGGAGCCAGGCCCACCCACTGAGTAGCCAGGCCCAGCCAATCACAATGAGTTTTTCCCCACAAAAGGGCTTTATTACAGACAGAAATACTCCTTATTTCAGCTCATGAAACATGGGACCAACACTTTACATGTTGCGTTTATATTTTTTGTTCAGTATATCTAATACTGCACCTGAAAAAGGATGGTTAGCTGGCATCCGTTTGATCAGTTTGCATTATCCAGCATCAGTCATTTGCTTGTCCAGGGTAACTTAGCAGGCTCATGTTTTATTTATCATCTAATTACACGGCAAAGACACAGGGCTTATTCACATTCACTACAATGGTGTTGCCCAAACAGGTACTTGAGGCTACATTCAGTTACTCTCTGTTTTCCATGAGCAGGTGGAGATAGAAATACAACAGCAAATCATTCCAACCTCACTTAGCCTGTCTTTGACAGATTGCCTGGGTACCTATACAGTACTGAATGTTACATTGACAATGTGTGGCTTTTGGAGATGAAGAGTCTCAGCAGACTGTAGACTAGAGTGCAGAGTCATATAACAATTCATTATGCAGGAGTTTGCATTGTGGCTAATGCAAATTCCGCTTCATGTACATCTTGTACATCTTCAGAAAACCATATCCATTGCAAAGTTTGGAGGTCAACTTACATGTGGGGGTTCTGGAATGGGGGTCCTGCTGTATTCAGAGTGAATCTGGTTGTTGGTTTGATCGGGGGATTGGCAAAATTTAACTTCAGTGCTTTGCGTTTACCTGATCGGGAAGAGGCAGAGTTTATGTCAGATTGCACACAAGACATCTATGGCAGGGGTAGAGCCAGACAAGGACCAGAAAACAACACCAACACACTCAAAAACAACATGAAAACAAACAGATACCATACCACAGAATGAGAGACCATTAAAGCAATGGGGAGACAGGTAAATTTATCAAGAGTATTCAAGTAAATTTACTGAAGTCATGCAATCCAAATCTAGGGACAAAGCCTGTAAGAGTAATGACCTGCTTCTTACCAAAGGCATCCCTCTTTATATTTCTCTGTGAGAATATAGATTTCTTCTATAGATGCTGAGTTTGGGATTTTAGCTGATACTAACCTATACTGAACTATATGGGATAGTCAACAAAACAATCGGGTCTTGACCGAATTCAAATGAATCACAAGTAGATCTAATAACAGGTTCTCAATCAAACCATGTTTATGCTAAGCCTCAGTGGCCAGGAACAGAAATCCCCTGGAGGTATTTTTACAAGGAATGTCCTGGTTATACATGTGACTCACTGCAGATGGTAGGTATAATTTGACCGGTTCACTGGAGTTGATGCAGAGGCATACACTTCTCAGTAGACACCTGCTCTAAACCATAGCCTAGTACTAGCTCACATCCCATACCATGGCTATTCAGGATGGAGGCTTACCTACAATCCAACACTCACCTATCATGTTTTAGTAGATTTTGCTTGGTAATTTAAGCAATAACGAGGGAGTAGGTGAGAATTTCAATTAACCAGACAATTTCTTGCTTCGTTTTTTTATTTCAACTAGGCTACTACCCAGAGTCAGACTGTGAAACAGGACAACATTGTGTAATGAGATTCTGACTCAACAAAAGCATGGATCTGACAGAACTGGATCTTTGATAATACAAAATGTGACTTGTGGCTCTGAACCATACATAAGAGTAAAATAGCCTACACTGCAGTTTGGAAAAATCTATCTTGCCAGAGGAGAAGGAGCTTCCCAAGGAAAACTGCTCTGAGTTCACCTTGAAATGAAGGATGCATTCTGTTCTCTCCACCCAAAACACCACACGAATGTGTTTACTCAAACTCCAATAAAATGGCATACGCCACTGGAAATTATACTAGTGTCTCCATGTCTCAACGGGCAAGTGTATGTTTAAGCACAGCTCATGCCAAAAATCACTGGCGTGTTCAAAAACAAAACTGGTTTGAAAAACAATGTGACAAAACCACAAGCATTACTAGCTAGTTTTGCTTGTTAGTAGCAAGCTGACTAAAAGTGCAAAAACTAAAAATGTAGAGCTTCCATTACAATGTTTATTAAAACACACCTAATTAATAAATACAAGCAAAAGGACTACACTTCTGTCAAGATAAAATAAAGTTCCAGCATAGTGCTATTTTGTGTAGAAGGTAATCGGTTCAGGCCGAACCGAACAGTGGTGAAGACCAGTTGAAAGCCAAAGTGTGAATCTATACACACCAATGCTAATGGAAGCTCTTAGCCCTAGGCTTGTGCCGATGATGGATGATCCGAATATGGATTGGAACGTCTTGGTAAATGAAAATGATTAAACTAAATTGTTTGGTGATAACTAATAGTAAGATAAAAACATATAGGATGGTTACCGCCAACTATTGTTTTTTTGGAAACAACTGAAAACTGAAATCAATACGACTCACAGTTGGACAAGTCTCATTTACTTGCTTTGCATCACTAAAATATTATGACCAAGTGTCTTAAAACACAGACCAACACAAGCTGCACTCTTTAACTCAGCTAGGATAATCAATGTTTAGCCTCAACTATTAGCCTAAACTGTCAAAACCGGCACAAGCCTACTAGACCCCAACAACTCTTTACTTGGATTAGTTGAGAAAAGAGGACAGACTCCCCCATATCAGACCGTCAGGTGGAAACAAAGGGTTGAGAACTGTTGGTACTGTAGCAAAAGAGGTTTGGCTTACTTGGGGGAGCTCCAGACAGGTTTATCTGAAACCCTAGAGGTGAGAAGAGAACATATCTTTTTCATATTTCACCTTTATTTAGGCTACTGTTTGACCGACTTAATATATTCATTTGGATAAACAAAAAACAACAAAGTTCTATCAAGAAACCTGGTGAACAAATACTGTTCTTCTCAGCTTCGGTTTTTAGACCAGGAAACGATGCAGCACTGTTTCCCAACACCCGTCACCACCTTGACTGACAACTATTTTAAGTCTCAATCAACTTGATTTTGCTAAATGAGGCTTTATTCCTGGAAAAGTCTACGAATCACAGTTTGATACCAAGGGTGGACAACAACTACACACACTAAAACATGACCAACTAGGCCAATTGAATAAATATTTTATCTAGGCCTAACCTACATGCAATACTTAACTAAAGAATTAGGCTACTTATCAGATGTTATCAGCTGAAATGGCAGCAGCCTTGTTATCAATATCGCATGTTAAGAGTTAATAATCATAAATGTACTTAGTTTGAAGATGTAAAAGCTCCTTTGCGTAAGCCCCCCCAAATGATGCAATTTGAACAGACAACTGGCTGAATAGTCCCTGGTGCTAACTACCTCACTTGCACTTGTCTTATCTACAGTGGGGGAAAAAAGTATTTAGTCAGCCACCAATTGTGCAAGTTCTCCCACTTAAAAAGATGAGAGAGGCCTGTAATTTTCATCATAGGTACACGTCAACTATGACAGACAAAATTAGGGAAAAAAATCCAGAAAATCACATTGTAGGATTTTTAATGAATTTATTTGCAAATTATGGTGGAAAATAAGTATTTGGTCAATAACAAAAGTTTCTCAATACTTTGTTATATACCCTTTGTTGGCAATGACACAGGTCAAACGTTTTCTGTAAGTCTTCACAAGGTTTTCACACACTGTTGCTGGTATTTTGGCCCATTCCTCCATGCAGATCTCCTCTAGAGCAGTGATGTTTTGGGGCTGTCGCTGGGCAACACGGACTTTCAACTCCCTCCAAAGATTTTCTATGGGTTGAGATCTGGAGACTGGCTAGGCCACTCCAGGACCTTGAAATGCTTCTTACGAAGCCACTCCTTCGTTGCCCGGGCGGTGTGTTTGGGATCATTGTCATGCTGAAAGACCCAGCAACGTTTCATCTTCAATGCCCTTGTTGATGGAAGGAGGTTTTCACTCAAAATCACACGATACAAGGCCCCATTCATTCTTTCCTTTACACGGATCAGTCGTCCTGGTCACTTTGCAGAAAAACAGCCCCAAAGCATGATGTTTCCACCCCCATGCTTCACAGTAGGTATGGTGTTCTTTGGATGCAACTCAGCATTCTTTGTCCTCCAAACACGACGAGTTGAGTTTTTACCAAAAAGTTATATTTTGGTTTCATCTGACCATATGACATTCTCCCAATCCTCTTCTGGATCATCCAAATGCACTCTAGCAAACTTCAGACGGGCCTGGACATGTACTGGCTTAAGCAGGGGGAAACGTCTGGCACTGCAGGATTTGAGTCCCTGGCGGCGTAGTGTGTTACTGATGGTAGGCTTTGTTACTTTGGTCCCAGCTCTCTGCAGGTCATTCACTAGGTCCCCCCGTGTGGTTCTGGGATTTTTGCTCACCGTTCTTGTGATCATTTTGACCCCACGGGGTGAGATCTTGCGTGGAGCCCCAGATCGAGGGAAATTATCAGTGGTCTTGTATGTCTTCCATTTCCTAATAATTGCTCCCACAGTTGATTTCTTCAAACCAAGCTGCTTACCTATTGCAGATTCAGTCTTCCCAGCCTGGTGCAGGTCTACAATTTTGTTTCTGGTGTCCTTTGACAGCTCTTTGGTCTTGGCCATAGTGGAGTTTGGAGTGTGACTGTTTGAGGTTGTGGACAGGTGTCTTTTATACTGATAACAAGTTCAAACAGGTGCCATTAATACAGGTAACGAGTGGAGGACAAGGAGCCTCTTAAAGAAGAAGTTACAGGTCTGTGAGAGCCAGAAATCTTGCTTGTTTGTAGGTGACCAAATACTTATTTTCCACCATAATTTGCAAATAAATTCATTAAAAATCCTACAATGTGATTTTCTGGATTTTTTCTCCTCAATTTGTCTGTCATAGTTGATGTGTACCTATGATGAAAATTACATGCCTCTCATCTTTTTAAGTGGGAGAACTTGCACAATTGGTGGCTGACTAAATACTTTTTTCCCCCACTGTATGCTTTAGGCTATAATGGTACATTCCACAGACCCAATTGCATTCATGTTGTATGCACTTTTACAAGAGAAACCAACCAATAACTGAAAAGTTAAAAACATATTTATCACTAAATCTGGAAGGTCGTGTTCTGTTATACTTTTTAAAAAACTGCCAAATGTAACACTGCACTTTGAAATGTCTGTGTAAACAAGTGTGGCTATGGCCTCATGACAGACTAAAATTATTTTCTGCTGAGTGAACCACTGAACTTTTATAACTTGGCCTCGCATCAGTGAACTGGTAAACATTTACTCTGAGCACACACATATAGCCAGAAACAACCAAGAGAACTTTGGTATGACTTGGCCTAGATCAGTTAGATTCAGCGGAGCTAATCGTGGTAGACCTATAAGAATAACAACCTACAAATGAGAAAAATAATAGAGGGGTGCGAGATAGAAAATTAAATGCATCCACAAAATGATCCTGGCAGGGAGAGACAATGACAATTGAAGAAATTATTATTGGGACAGCTCACCGTCGATCAGCATCAAGTCAGGAGGGTTATGGGAAGTTAGTAGCATTATGGAAAGGGAAGAAAAATATCACAAATGTAATTTCAATACTTTGACACTGACAGAAGAGGACCATAACAGATGTTTCTTTCATGTATTACCTGGATTCAGAGTGGCATGCAAAAGTATAGAACCAGATCCAAAAGTAACTAACGACCTATGACAGTTATTGGTAAAGCATCAACAAAAATGTATATATATTATCTTTATAAAATCTGTAATATTGACAGTAACGTTAGCTACCTGTTTCACTCTGACATCTCCAGCAGGTGTTGGATTCTGTAAATTAAAATAAAATATTGTTTGTAAAAACATAGCTAGCTAATTATGCATTGGGTGGAAATTGAACAGATTTCTGCTGGTGGATGTATTTGAAATGTAAGAGATGCTCAGGCACAAGTTTCACTGAGCTAACATTACTGTAGCTGCCTGGCCTAGGAAACTTCGGGATTTTGGTAATGAAGCCATGTATCTACTTCCCCAGAGTCAGATCAACTCATGGATACCATTTGTAAATGTATGTCTCTGCATCCAATGATAACTAGCGTTAGTCCCATGTAGCTCAGTTGGTAGAGCATGGCGCTTGCAACGCCAGGGTTGTGGGTTCGTTTCCCACGGGGGGCCAGTATGAAAAGTAAAAAATGTATGCACTCACTAACTGTAAGTCGCTCTGGATAAGAGCGTCTGCTAAATGACTAAAATGTCAATGTAAAATGTTAGCGCAATGACTGGAATTCTATGCGGTAACTGCTACAGTAGCATGCTAGTAGATACCATGCATTTCCTGTCATTGCGACTAACGCTAGTTAGCATTGCCTCGCGAAACTACCTCAATTTCATACTGGATGCAGAGACAAAAATGGTATTCATGAGTTGATTTGACTCTGGGGAAGTAGATAAAGGGATTGATTACCAAAATCCTTAAGTATCCCTTTAACAGTGAGCTACATGAACAGTCTGGAGGGGGAAAAAAACATCCCAACATGATCTTGTTTTTAGAACTGCAACATATTATAGCTAGCTAATATTAGCTAGTTAGAGGTAACCTGACTTTACATTGAAAGACAGTAAGCAACACATGACCACATCCAGATCAATCATGACAAGCCTTCCTATATTCTAGCTCGTTATTTAAGAAGGCTAGCTAGCAATGCCGCTTGTTAGCCAACCTTAGCTCGCTAGTTAGGTAACGTTAGCTAACAACTATTCACTAGCTAACATAAGCTAGCTATGTGGCAAGTTAACGTTGTTTTGGTGTTACTTATTTCAACAACAACAAAATCAGAACCCGTTATTTGATTAGAAGACAATGTTTTGGGTGTGGGGGCAACTGATTTTGACGGTAGCTAGTTAACTGTAGACACCAAGCTAGTTAACTGACTTGTAGTAGTGTGTGAATAAAACTGAAGCAAGTTATCTGTTAGTTAGTAGATAGCTAGCTAGCCAATATAGCTAGTTAGTAAGCATAGTCATTAGGTTGCTCCCGTTAACACCACTCACAAAAAAAGATCTAGCGCTAACGTTAGCTAACAAGCTGGTATTTTACAATCCTTACCTTGCATACTGCTCATTGTTGTTATGTGTTGCGATTGGGATTGATGGTGATGTGTGCCTGTAGATCCTGCGTTATTGCTGTTGTGGCTGGTAGATGTTGTGTTGTTGGGGCTGGAAGTCGCCATTGTTATGTGTTTGAATTCTATCAGCAGCAATGCAGAGAGCAACTTCACCCTTACCAAACTAGACTAGAGAATAATCAAACTGGCTACTCTTCGACTCAAAGGCGCGTGGTGGATGTAGAGCGCTACCGGACAAGACTGTAACTACCAACAGACAGCAATAAATTGGGAGAGTGTTTGACAGTCCAGTAACCACCTTTCCATTACACACCTAGAGTCGAGACCAAAGATGGTGGATAAATGAAGACCGTCCAGTCTGGCATTTTACCATTGAGAAAAAAAAAGGTAAGTTCCGGCTTACTTAACTGGGTGTGTCATAGACACCAATGCAATAGCAGCTTGGCCTGGTCTACTTAGTTTAATTGAACCAGAAAAAAAAACAGACAAAACAGCAAGTGGGGTGTCTCGCTTCCTCTTCAGTCTCTGGTCAAGACTCAGTCAGCTGACCAAATGTCACTTGCGAACGTGAACACCCACAGCTTCCAACGCGAAGCTGCTGCGTGTGTGTGGACCGAGTTCGAGGAACACAAACTAGGCTCAGATTTCCATACCGCAAGTTTTAACCTAAAGCACTAGGGGGAAGACAAATATCTGACCGTGTATCAGTGGGTTGGGGCGATTTCTAGCCTAATTGTATTAGGCTATAAATGACCATACAGTAAACAGTAATATGTCAGATTAAAATCAGTTTAAGTAGTGTGTAATACTGTCCATAGTTTATTTTATTTTAAAGTAGCCAAATTAGTATTTAATGTCACAGTAACACATAGGTAGCTTGCAATCGTTTTCCCTATTCATCTATATTCAGAAAGCAGTCTTCAGAAAAAGGAAAAGAAAACAACGAGTCTTGGCGATTTCGCAATCGGGCCTATAAATGTTCACTTGTCGAAACTTCATATCCCAAACCTCACACTAAAAATTAACGGTAAAGGATTCAACGCAAAGTTTATGGTTCAACGTCCAATGAGGAAAGTTTGCTGTTGAACTGCTGATTACGAGAAACTGGTTCTGTAATTATAGACCGTGACAATGGACGAACCTAGTGAAATTGAGTACACAAAAACAAACTTTTCTCTGATAATTTGGAGAGTTTGCAATGTATGCATGTCATTGTTCTTTGCTCTAGCAAGTTATGTGCAGGCAAGTGATTCCCTTATTTCGTTACATTGTTTGAGATACTTTGTATCTATAGCCTACTGTATTTGGCATGACCTGTAGGCATATCTGCTTCTGTTGATAACTCATGGATTTAGTAGAGTAATTTAATGAGATAACATGGTGTATGTCTCTGAATGTTTGGCCCAACTGAGTAAATCCCATGTTTTATCCTTTGTGTTTTTTATTGGCACAGATTAACGATCCGGATGCAGTATTATGGATGGTAGGATCACGCTTTTTTTTTGTTTTCGTTTAATGTTTTTAATGAATTACTATTATCAAAGGGCTTTTTTAATTTTTTTATACAGTAATCCACTTTTCTATCTCCAGGTTGCCTATGCTATTCCAGCAAATCTGTGTTTATTGGTTGGCATTAAACCACATGTAACAGGTATGTGGACATTATGGATTAATAGAGATCCATCAATTACTTTTGACTACTTTTCCTATTAAATAACATTTCAATTTTAACATTTTGGCCAGTGAAAAAGGCCATTGACTGTTTAGTGTATTGTGGCTATATCAAGACAGTGTAGTTAAAAGCTAGAAATATTCATGCATGAGCCTGCATGCACTGCCCTCTGAATGTTTAAATGGTTGAGAGACTGTTTTTCAGAGACAGTACTTTGGAGGAGAATTGCTCAACTTCATGTGCTTATTTCGACTGCTGTTGTTTCCATGATGGGATGGACTCTGTATAAAGAGGGCATCACAAATATCTTCCAGCAAGAGGAGGGAAGGTATAGTCTCACAATCACAATCGTTTTCTGTTTAGATGAGCATTGTGTTCAATTATTATTTTTGGTCACACCTGTTTCTCTCTATCCCCAGGGAATTCTCTGGTCTCATGTTGATACTTGTCTGGCTTCTACTGTGTCAACACTCTGGAAGGTAAGGACTTTCGACATAGATTTGGACCTTATCCCAACATGCAATAACTTCTTTTAAAAAAGTATCACACTCTGTTGTACATCACTGATATCTGTACTGCTGTAACTATTTTCTATTAGTTCTATTGGGGCTTTCAGACTGTCTGCTGCTGTTGCCATCACAATCTTCCCCTTTGTGGCCTGGCTGTACTACTACATTAACAAGGAGCTGAGGACCAGCTGGCCCTCGCATTGTAAAATTGCACTGTAGATATCCATTCATTAAGATAGTCCAGTGACGAGTGAGCAACATCTCATGCGTGATGGATCATTTACAAGAGGATATGACCTAGCTACAGAGGCTTCTACAGTATGGAATACTGCTAATGTGTACATTTGTAAATAAAAAAGCCAATGACGGCAGTCAGTGAAATCATGGATGCATTGTTTAAAAAGACACGTATGGTTTAGCAGCGGTGTTTTTGACATCCAAATAAGTGACGAAATGTCATAAATTAGAATATATATTGTATATGATTGACACATTTTCCTTTTTTACTGGAATCATATGTTTCTCTTTCTGACCATTTTGTTGTTGTAGGCAACCCATTGCACTTGTGGTGATATCTGGTGGAATCACAGTAAAATAAAGCAATTTAATAAGAAATATAAATTGAATTTTTGTATAATTTTTTATTTTTGCATCAGAAATCTAAATTGAAAGAAATGCATGTACTGTAGCCTACTCAAGGCTCCAAATAATTTGGTATTTTGATTTATCACCACTGGGCCTCGATAGATACAGGAGATATGCCTTAAAAGTAATGTAGGCTATAGCTAAATCAAACTCCTTTTGTGTTTGGTGCTCCTAACTTGTTAAAGTTGGCAGCAGAAGTAGGCTACTGCCAATGAAAAAAGTAAATGTACTGTACTGTATTTTACGATAGCTAGATGTCAATAGCGCCCAGAGACCACAGCACAAAAAAAAGGACTTAGGGTGCGTAATTTCCGGTTCTAACAGCCAGAAATAACTATGTTCGCCGGCAGGTCCAGGGTCAGCTTAAATGGTTGCTATTGCGAGCCACTCGGTCAATGAGCATCGTTGTACATAGTATACTGATCCAAGATCAGGAATTTGTATGCGTTTTTACCTTCATGATTAACGTTGTGTAAAATTCTGCCACCACTTCCGCATTGAGTTCTTGACAAACTAGCTCAACATCATGGCAGTGGGCTTAATATCGTATCAGACTTTGAGATGTCGATTGTTAAATCGTATGATTTCGCACCAAGGTTGTGAGCACAATATGCAGCTTTACACGCGCGTTATCGAGAATGACTGTTTCTCCGTACACAGATCTCTCACCACGGACAGTACACGGGCTGGTAGGTCATGCATGGCTCACAACACTCAGACTATGATCAAATGTGTTCGCGGAATGACTAACAGCTTGAAGACAGATATCGTTGTACCTATCCATCATGTTAACATATTGTGTGTATTCATGCACTGCACAGGTAAACCTAGGCGGGAGTTGGACTTGTAGGACATCACGGTGGTTGTCTTTTCACGACTCAAGAACATTCTCCTCGTTACCTCCACCGCCCCCTTCTGGTGATAAAACCAAAAAGACAGGGGTATGTAATGTATCAATTAACTTCTGATTGATATGTAAAATAATCTGGGGGACCTGATAAAACCTGGATAAAACAAAGCACACAGCCTTTTGCTTTGTCTTTAACCTTGTTGCTTTGCCTGTCTCCATCCATCTATCCTCTGCAGCCAGTGACTTGGAAATCATTAGCAATAACATTTGCATTTGGGGGTGTTCTCCTTGCCGGAATGAAATATTTCAAGAAGGAAAAAGAAGAATGTAAGGACATTTCACCTCTCGGTGCACTCACCATCATGCAGTAGGCTACATCCAACAGTGGATTTACACAAATTAATTAATGTTCCGAACTGAAGTTCTCCTGGAGATAATCATCAGTGTCTGTACATGTTGGTAACAATCTGTTTTACATGTTGTCTTTTTTACACGTGCACTGCAGTGATTGAAAGAGAAAGGACAAAGTCAATGGGGAAACCAGCGCTTGGGGGTCCATTCTCTCTTGTGGATCAGAATAATAAATCCTGTAAAAGTGAGGATTTCCTCGGCCAGTGGGTCCTTATCTACTTTGGCTTTACACACTGCCCTGACATCTGTCCTGATGAAATCGAGAAAATGATTGAGGTGGTGGATGAAATAGGTAAAGTGTTTTATTTTAAACATCTTTTATGATGCATCATATGTCATGTGAATTATTATGAATGTCATGGCAATTAGATGGTTGAGTGAGTAACCAGTCAGTCACTCATATCAAATGTCTTCACAAAGCATAATGTTAATGCTAGAACCCAGGGATGTACTGAAGATATGTTGTGATTAACACCATGTCTTTCCATGTTTCCCAGACAGGATACAGTCTCTTCCAAACCTGACCCCCATCCTCATCACCATTGATCCTGACAGGGACACACCTGAGGCCATGGGGACATATGTGAAAGGTAAAGAGAACAAGCCATTAACTACTGTTGCTTCCATGTTATGGTAAAAGGGGGACTTAGACTCACATTGGTGGAACAATAACATTCCCCCTCTGTCCTCTATCCCCAGAGTTCTCCCCTAAGCTCATTGGCCTGACTGGGACAATGCCCCAAATTGACCAGGTCTCTCGAGCCTACAGAGTCTACTACAGCCAGGGACCAAAGGATGAAGACAACGACTACATTGTGAGTTCATCGTCTGATCCTGCCCTTATTCATAACTCTCATTGGTTCATAGTAAAGTAGGAATTCCCACTTTTCCCAGCTGAATTGATATCTAAACGAAACCTCCTTTATTCTTGATTGCAGGTTGATCACACAATCATCATGTACCTGGTTGGTCCAGACGGAGAATTCAAGGAGTATTTTGGACAGAACAAGAGGAGCGCTGAGATTTCCTCTTCCATTGCATCACACATGAGGAAGTACAAGAAGTTGAATTAAGAGGTGAGATGAAGGAGAACTTGTGTGCCTCTCTCAAAGCCTTCAGACTGTCAGCAGCCTCTGGCCCAGCAGCCCCTGACCCAGCAGGACTGAACACTGCCATGTTATGTCAATGACATGGAATATTATCTGGAGTACAGCTTTTAATGGAATTCAGATGTCTACGACTTACCATTCCATTTTTGCTGTTCACCATTTAACATGGTCTCTAATATCATATTTAAGTCTAAGATTATTTAAAGTGATTTTTTGCAAATAGGGTTGGACAACGCTTCAGTGTTTCTTTTTTCTGCTTTGCCCATTATTTCAATCGGTGTGAAATACAATTGTTTCGATGTAAAATATGAGAGCCAAACAGAAATACCGGTACTTGATTTCAAGTACCCTCAACAAATGTAACTATGCTAAAATGGAGGTGGAAAGTATTCCTTGGAAATCAAATCACATTTTATTGGTCACATACACATATTCCTTGGAAATCAATACTGAGGAACTGAAGGTTTCCAGTGTTTACCCTTGGGCACTCCTAATGGAAAAGGAACAGGAATAGTTGTCGTTGTGCAGTTACAGCTCTGCTTTACTTCGTTTACACTAATTCTCCTTTTTAGCCTCGCTATTAAGTCTGGCCCAATACCTGGACTCTTCTCAGTGACACCAGAAACATTTATGCACTGTAATAACTATTTGGTTACTCAATTTGTACTATCCATAAATCAAAGTCATATTTCAACAGAATTTCCAAAGTAACGTTTAATTGATTAAACTTGAACTTGCAGTTATGTACTGTATGTCTGTTCATTTTTTTTTGCTTCCCATGTAGTCGTAGGCTACCATGCAGGTATCAGGGCTTCACTTTGTTCAACCATATTGTAGACTAGCCTATTCCTAGTAGAAAACACATGGTGGTCAAAGTTTGAGCTTATTCATATGGTGCCATTTGAGTTGTCAAGAGTAGAGCACTGTCGTAAATAATTAATTTAAACAGCTTTATTTGTAATCATGTTGCTATTGATATGCCAGCCAGACCAGTGTCTTGACTGGGCCCATTGTTCTGCAAATAAATGGTCATCAGCGGAGCCTCTATATCTGGTCATAGCCATAGATGCATGATTAGCTCATAGTAGCATGTCATTTTCAATGAATTTACACACACACACTCATAATTATATATATTTGTTTTTATAATACATACAAATGAATTCTCAATATCCTTGCAAACTGACCGTCTTTTGGCCAGAACACCTGTTGAGTTCCCCCTTGGTAACCTGATTACTAGAGAGAGCACAGAAGTTGTTCAGCACTCTTCGGCAAAGCTCCCGACTCATTCCTGGACGGTTGGTGGTTTGTGATGACTGGGAAGAAATACTCTTCTAGATGAGAGATCACCTTTCACCTGTCAGAGTAGCAAATGATCCTTTATGAGAATTCGGTTACGCAGATTTTTATGTTGTATGCTCATGAATTCACCCACTGAACCATTCCATATCTTGATTTGTTGTGTCCCACTGACAGTACATGCCCTTCTCTTTACAACATTGGACAGGACTCCCTTGTGCCTTATAATTCAATGTACACTTTTTACCTGGAGAACTGAGTTTGATGATACAACGAGTGTCTCCCTGTGGATGTACTGTCTGTCTGAAACAGTCCCCCTAAAATTGGGTGTCCTTTCAGACTAGCAGTGTTTATCGGCAGCTTTTATTTTGTGGCCTCCTGTCTCCTGTCCGTTGACCCTCTAATCCCAGGCAGATGCACCCGTCCTCAGATCTATTTTCCACCAGGGGCAGGCATCCGTCTGCCTCAGACAGAACCAGCCAATGGGGATTGTCTCCTTGCTTCTTCTCTCGTTCGTACTGTGACTTCAAATTCCCACAGTCTCGCAGTGTCCTTGACACAGTCTTGTACACAGTCAATGTACATACTCTACTATAACGTGTCGGAAGAGGTCAGCATAAGCCCTGCCCATGACCAATTATACCCACAACTGTTGCCAGCCCTTCAAATTACATTCATGGGATATTAAATCAACACCAATTAGGTTGGATGTGATGCAGTGCCAGCTTGTGTCATAGTTTATGAAAATGAATGGCCCACACACAGTACAACTCTACTGACTCTTTCCTTGGAGACAGTTCACACATTCATTGGACATTTTACAGATAAATGTTATATGTAACATGTTTATATGGTGGAATAGGATCATGCATAGAATGTAAGTCTAAATAAATTGTTTAGCATTGTGCACAGCTGAGTTCACCAATAGATATAAAGGAATTTGAAAGAAAGAATGCAGGCGTTGCCGTTCTATTGTCGACTGCATGTGACATCACATGAGTTTTAGAGGGAGCTGTGGAGGGTCATGATTATGACCACAGCACTTCTATGCTAGTCAGTTTACGTTCTAACTGACGTGCTGTTAGGAGCTTGTCCAAAGGAGTGCATGATATCAGACAAACAGTCTGAACTAAACTACCTGATGATGATGAGGCAGCATCTATAATAATAATAATAATAATAATAATAATAATAATAATAATATATGCCATTTAGCAGACACTTTTATCCAAAGTGACTTACAGTCATGTGTGCATACATTTTTTTTTAACGTATGGGTGGTCCCGGGGATCGAACCCACTACCCTGGCGTTACAAACGCCATGCTCTACCAATTGAGCTATCTAGTCCACAGGTGTCAAACTCATTCCACGGAGGGCCGAGTATCTGTGGGTTTTCACTCTTTCCTTGTACTTGATCGATGAATTAAGGTCACTAATTAGTAAGGATCTCCCCACACCTGGTTGTCTAGGGCTTAATTGAAAGGAAAAACCAAAAGCCTCTCCATGGAATGAGTTTGACACACCTGATCTAGTCTCTCTAAAAGGGATGGCATGATCCTATATTTTGTGCTAGCTCTGGTCCAGGGCGTTAGTGACCGTTCCTTTAATAATGCACAATAACACCCTGGACCAGAGATAATGTTGTGCTCAAAATGTACCACAGCTTATCAGTCAATTTTGTTTTCAAAATAAGTTTTAATTTGAGTCAGTTTACATTTTATTTAATAGAATTTAGAATTGTTCTTGCACACTGCCACACACAGGAATAAATGGAACATAAACCAATTAAAAACATCTACAGCGCTATGAATGCATTGAGAATATATTGTTAGCCATTGCATTCTTGGAATGCACCCGTATAGATGAAATGGATGACTTTTTCAACATAACATTATATAGCCCTGCCAAAGCCCTCTATCAGCACTGGCATCGCATGGTACACTTGAAACACATACTTGTGCTGTATTGACATGGGCAACTGAGGAACATTAATAGAAATCCACTCAGGATTTTGTATGGATTAGAAGGGCTTTTTGGGATTCATTGTTAACCCTGTTATTTGGAATGCTCTCTCAGCCATGCATAAACGGAGGCCTGAATTTTTGGAAGACATGATGAGACATGGGCTGCTTTTGTATGAGATGTGTTCAGGTCATCTGTAAAGTGGTTTACTACATGTAACATCATCACAATTGGAAGCAGCTTAGATGTTTGTATTGTCAGAGAAGTCTTGTATTGCTTCAGCGTGCTTCAATATAAGGCCGACAAAGGCCTCTGGTAATCAGTGTTGTAGATCATTTTTGTTCAGAATTACTGTGTCAAATGTGCTGTGTCAGTATGTTTTTAATTTTTTTATTGCACATTTACGTATTGGTCCCTGTGACTGAATCCAATCCCATAGAGTAACATTACCTCAGTTTAGCATTGGGTCAATAGTCTTGAAAGCAAAACTGAAAAGGTTTTGATAACATCTCTTCGTCTCAGGTATTTGAATGGCAATGGAATACAGCAGACGGACCTGTCTCTGTCTGTCTGGAACGTACTAACTGCCGCCTGTCAACCCCAGCCTGTATCGGACCATGCCCTCCCAGTGAGCCCTAATCGACCGTGATCCCAGTCAGCCAATGCCAGAATTTGAGCAATGCCCTAACAGACCTAATCTTCCCTGATCCTAGAAAATGAGGAATGTCGTGTCTAGACCAAAAGCCCTCTAAGCTGCCGTCCTCAGCCATCATTGCTTTTTAATGGACAGGCTACAGGATTACAATTGAAAACATTTAAATGTGACACAATACAGCTATAGATAGACAGTTGAAAATACAAAATGGACATACTTTACTTTTCCATGGTGGCGTTTGAGCCAGATTTTATCTCTATCCAAATATAGAGAAGCTGTCAAGCAAACAGAAAAAAAAAAACATCCCTTATAAAAAGTATTCTTAGTGTGATGATAGCAGGGCATTGGAGGTATGTCTTTGGCGTACTGTTGAGACAGCAAACATTTAACAACAATAGAGGGTGCATCCATAGAGAGATAGCATCAATACAGTCTCTGCCATCCTACTGTGATCATAGATTTTTCCCTGTAGCTGCAACACTCAGGTAAGAATGGACCAAATCATATATTTAGGCCTTTGATGTTCATTGGATCTTCTCAAGGAATATAGAGAATTTCTGCAATTATTTGTTTTTATTGTATAATCTATGACCTACAGATCAATATGAAGCATATGATGTATAATCAATTGTCTCCATGCTACACAGCTTTAGAAAATGAGTGATGCTGAGATGGAAGTATTTGGGGTGGCTGCCTCGTACCTCCGCAAGCCGGAGCGGGAGAGGATTGCGGCACAGGTCAAACCATTTGATGCCAAAACGGCCTGCTTTGTGGCAGATCTAAAGGTAGAGTATGTGAAAGGCAAAATCAAGAGCCAAGACATCTCCAAGGTCACAATGGAGACTGAGGATGGGAGGGTGAGTACATATACAATGTTCTAGAATGTTTGACCATAGTAGCTCTGTTCTAACCCACTGGACACAGACGTTAGTTCAACGTCTAGTTTTGATTTACATTTGGTTGAGTTATCAGCTAACGGGAATTCAAAGTGAAAACAACAAAACATTCCACCATGGTTAAAAGTTGGGTTAAAAAAAACGATAATCACTTACGTTGATTACTTTTTTCAAATCCAATCAGTTCTCCACATTGATTCAACTTCATCACATTGACGTTTTTTGTTGAAATGACATGGAAACAACATTCAACCAGTTTTTGCCCAGTGGGAAAGCATGATATATTTTACTTACTATATGAGAGTGACTGAAATTCAGAGTGCATGTCATTTCTAAGCCTTTTTGGATGCTAAATAAAAAGTTCATTATGCCACCGTGGCATGATTTCAATGCAGTTTCATCCAGTTATTATTCTAGCATGTAATCAATACAACTGGTTCCTTATTTGAATGGAAACTTGCCTCCCCTAACTGCCCTCCCCTTTATTTGATCATGTTGCAGGTTGTCACGGTGAATCCGGATGACATCAGCCCCATGAACCCTCCTAAATTTGACAAGATCGAGGACATGGCCATGTTGACCCATCTCCATGAGCCAGCCGTGCTGTTCAACCTCAAGGAGCGCTACACTGCCTGGATGATCTATGTAAGCAGACACAGATCAGATTACATTTCAACTCAGTCATACGTACATCTTCTAATTGCATTGTCAGTGAAACATCTACAAACTAGTTTCATGGGTTCAATTAGATCATCAATGACATAATCTGAGTTGTTCCCCTATTGCAGACCTACTCTGGGCTGTTCTGTGTGACTGTGAACCCCTATAAGTGGCTCCCGGTCTACAACCCAGAGGTGGTGGCTGGCTATCGGGGCAAGAAGCGCCAGGAGGTCCCACCGCACATTTTCTCCATCTCTGACAATGCCTATCAGTTTATGCTAACAGGTATAATCTTCATTTCATGATGTATCCTATTGTAGCAGCAAGTATACTTAACAGGTAATTTTATCTTTCAACAGATCGTGAAAACCAGTCCATCCTTATCACGTATGTACTGTTGCCCATGCTGTTACTAATTGTCTGCCTCTGTAAAGAACTGAATTTACTAGGAAAGTTTACATTATTACTCTCAATTGTGTTGTTCAATCTTGATTTTTACAGTGGAGAATCTGGTGCAGGGAAGACTGTAAACACAAAGCGTGTCATCCAGTATTTTGCGACAATCGCCATGGCTGGAGGAAGTGAAAAGAAGAAGGAAATCAATGGGAAAATGCAGGTTCTATCCATACTCATGTTACATTAACATAATATGTATATAGTCCCCTCTATTGCATTTACTGTAAAGTGGATTTACTCATACTTACCAACAATTTTATTCTCAAAGGGAACCCTGGAGGATCAAATCATCCAGGCCAACCCTCTGCTGGAGGCTTTTGGGAATGCCAAGACTGTGAGGAACGACAACTTAAACCAAACACCTTAGCTGAAATGTGACCTTTTAAAAACAATGTAATATTTGGAAAACTTACAGGGCAAATTCATCCGCATCCACTTTGGCACAAAGGGGAAGCTGTCCTCAGCTGATATTGAGACATGTGAGTTTGCTTGTCTATTTTCTTTAAATATGCAAGGCCATTGCTGTGGATTGGAACAAAATGTAATTTGATTATTTCTCTGATTTTCTTCTTTAGACCTTCTGGAAAAATCCAGGGTAACGTTTCAGCTCCTGGCAGAAAGGAGTTATCACATCTTCTATCAGATCATGTCCAATAAGAAGCCTGAATTAATTGGTAGGTTGAGTAATGCTGCCTGGTGGATCTATATAAAGCCATACACAGTAATTGTAGTTTTGGACTACAAAGGTATTGGTTACTTTAAGGGGGCAATCTGAGATTGCTACATCCATTTGTGTACTTTAAAATTAATGATATGTACCCATTGGTTCTTGAAGAATAAATGACTCATGAGCTTAGGTCAACTGTCATACCCCATCAGAACCCCAAATATAAAATTGTTTTACTCCATTGTTTGTAAACAATGTAATTGTAAATAAAAACTGTATAGCCTAGTCAGTCCTCACATCCATAGCTCTGTCTATGAATTTGAGAGTGGTTATATTTCTCCAGCCCCATCCCTCAACTGTTTACCAAAAACAGTGGTAGGTTGCCACTTTGTTGTTGTTTGAACTGCAAAAAAAAAAAGTGATGTACTGTGAGTTCAGCCTCCAACACCAATGTAACCCCCCACTGGTAAATATACACCTTCTCTATCATGTTCACCAGAGATGCTGCTCATCACCACCAACCCATATGACTACCCTTTCATCAGTCAGGGGGAAATAAAGGTGCAAAGCATCAATGACACAGAAGAGCTCATGGCCACAGATGTGAGTCCACCTGTACCCTATATCTCATATGTGTAAATTACCCACACAGATTGGAAAATGAATACATCGAAAACATAATAGAAAACCCTCAACTGTACTGTATAAGATTGTCTTAGGGACTGATGAAATGTTTATATATGTTTGACTGAGCTCCAATATCTGTCCCAATAGAGTGCCATTGATATCCTAGGCTTCAATGCAGAGGAAAAACTTGGGATCTACCAAACTGACTGGTGCTGTGATGCATCATGGGAACATGAAGTTCAAGCAGAAGCAGTGTGAGGAACAGGCAGAGCCTGATGGCACTGAGGGTGAGCAGTCTTTGATTTTTACTTATTTTGAAATTCTAATTAAATCTTCACTTATCCACAGCCAGAATCCACTCATCATCTTTTTTGTCTCATGTATTCCAATAGTAGCTGACAAAGTTGCCTACCTCATGGGCCTGAACTCTGCTAATCTACTGAAAGCTGTGTGCTATCCCAGAGTGAAGGTCGGGAATGAATATGTCACCAAAGGACAGACAGTTCAACAGGTATGACAAACTACATTAGAGTGTGTACAGACATGAGTGACCCTCGCCCAACTCTCACCAATTTTCCATTGTCCTTAAAATGTGTTTTGTCTCATTTGCAGGTGAATAACTCCATGGGTGCCCTGTCTAAGGCAGTGTATGAAAAACTGTTCTTGTGGATGGTGACCAGAATAAACCAGCAGCTAGACACCAAATTGCCCAGGCAGCATTTTATTGGCGTTCTGCACATAGCAGGCTTTGAGATCTTTGAGGTATGAGTGGACTCCTCATTTGAAACACATTTACAACAATGTAATCCTTTATTGTATGTTATTTAATTATATTTTGTAAACCATGCAGATGAACAGCCTGGAACAGCTCTGCATCAATTTCACTAATGAGAAACTGCAACAGTTTTTCAATCACCACATGTTTGTGTTGGAACAAGAGGAATACAAGAAGGAAGGGATTGAGTGGGAGTTCATTGACTTTGGAATGGACTTGGCTGCCTGCATTGAGCTTATTGAGAAGGTACTGTGACCTTTAAGTCACTCTTTACAGTCTAACTGTTAATTGATTAAATAAGTTAGGATCAACAGGACAGAGTTGAAAAACATATTTATTGACAGTAATTAAAAAGTTTATAAGCATAATATTGAAATCCAGTAGACAGACATGATCAAAACAATGAAGTTCTATACCTTGGTTCTTATAAACACATTTTACACTGTAAATCTTCCACAGCCAATGGGTATTTTCTCCATCCTTGAAGAAGAGTGCATGTTTCCAAAGGCAACAGACTGCTCCTGCAAGAACAAACTCTATGACCAGCATCTTGGGAAGAACAGCCAAAGCAGAGGCCCACTTCACCCTGGTTCACTACGCTGGCACTGTGGACTACAACATCGGTGGCTGGCTGGAGAAGAACAAGGACCCGCTGAATGACACTGTGGTACAACTGTACCAAAAAGCTGCCCTGAAGCTATTGTCTCAGTTGTTTGCAAAGTTTGTCTTAGTTGATGGTGAGTTTACATCAGCGTTTTAAGACATCAGTGAAAAATTATCTTGAGTAGAAATACAATTGTTTTATTTTTCTCTTTCTGTAGCTGATAGAAACCAAAAAGGAGCAAAAAAGAAGGGGTCCTTTTTCCAGACTGTCTCTGCACTTTTCAGGGTAAAACTGTTTCCCCCTACTCTTATGAAAATGTATATCGATCTAATGATCGTATGTAGACTTTAGAACATTTCTATGCACAATTCAGTGAGCATTGTTTTGCTTGTTCATGCTCTTTTATCACTTCATAACCATCCCTCAGGAAAATCTCAACAAGCTGATGTCTAACCTGAGGTCCACACATCCCCATTTTGTGAGATGCATCATCCCAAACGAGACCAAAACACCAGGTATGTAAAGGTTTGAAACATGTAATGTTGGTTGTTTGCTCTCAAGGCTGCCTGACCTGACAGAATTATGCCTTTCCATGTAGGGGCCATGGAACACTACCTCGTTTTGCATCAGCTGCGCTGTAACGGTGTGCTGGAGGGTATCAGAATCTGCAGGAAGGGATTCCCAAGCAGGATTATATATGCTGACTTCAAGCAGAGGTAAATCCTTCATTGATCTCTGTTACCTATAAGAAAAATGATTCAACAAACATGAGCTCAAGGATAAATGTGGACTGTTTCCCCAACAGATACAGAATCCTGAATGCCAGTGCTATCTCCGAGGGGCAGTTTATCGACAGCAAAAAGGCATCAGAGAAGCTACTGTCCTCCATCGATGTGGACCACGCCCAGTACAAATTTGGATACACTAAGGTATTGTGAAGGCAAAACAATGTTATGGTCTGACCTATAGGCATGACGTTATCGAGTGATATGTAGTGTACATTCAGACAGTGGTGCACCAACTCAGAATAACACTTGCATTGCTTGTGTTTGTATGTGTATATTAGGTGTTCTTTAAAGCTGGCCTGTTAGGTCTGCTGGAGGAGATGAAAGATGAGCGCCTGGCAGTGTTATTGACTCGCATCCAGGCTGTCTCCAGGGGCTACATCACGAGGCAGAGGTTCAAGGAGATGTCAAAGAAAAGGTCTAAAAAACATATTTCTGTAATTGAAAAATTCATACAGTACAGGTCCTATGAACTTCAATAAATGACGGGATCTTTCTTTTGCCACTACATAGGGAATCCATTTTCATAATTCAATATAACATCCGGTCATTCATGAACGTGAAGAACTGGCCTTGGATGAGGCTCTACTTCAAGATCAAGCCCCTGTTGCGAAGTGCAGAGGCTGAGAAGGAGATGCAGAACATGAAAGAGGAGTTCTCAAAGGTCAAAGATGAGTTTGCAAAGTCAGACGCCAGGAGGAAGGAACTTGAGGAGAAGATGGTGGTCCTTGCTCAGGAGAAGAATGACCTTTACCTCCAGATTCAAGCGGTGGGTTTCTATCAAGTTTTTAAGAACATGCTTTATATTAGATATGTGTGTAGATGTTGCATGGTTCTTATAAATATATAGCACTTTCTATGAGGTTACATATTAACATTTCAAGAAGTACCAAACTTTAATTGAATCCAATGAACTCAAATCAAATTGTATCTGTCCCATACTTCGTAAACATCAGGTGTAGACTAACAGTGAAATGCTTACTTACAAAATAATAACACAAGGAATAAATACACAATGAGTAACGATAACTTGGCTATATACATTTAAAATTTAAAATTTTAGTCATTTAGCAGACGCTCTTATCCAGAGTGACTTACAGTTAGTGAGTGCATAAATGTTTTCATACTGGTCCACCGTGGGAATCGAACCCACAACCCTGGCGTTGCAAGCGCCATGCTCTACCAACTGAGCTACACGGGACCACACAGGGTACCAGTACCGAGTCGATGTGCAGGGGTATGAGGTAATTGAGGTAGATATGTACATATAGTAAGGATAAAATGACCAGGCAACATTATAGATAATAAGCAGTAGCAGCAACCCTGTTACTATTGGTTTATTGTCTAAGGTATGCTACTTGTTCATATTTCAACAGGAAAGAGAGAACCTCTCTGATGCAGAAGAGAGATGTGAGGGGTTGATCAAGAGCAAGATCCACCTAGAGGCAAAAACCAAGGAGTTCTCTGAGAGAATTGAGGAAGAGGAGGTGTTCAATGCAGAGATCACTGCCAGGAAGAGGAAACTGGAGGATGAATGCTCCGAGCTCAAAAGGGATATAGATGACCTGGAGCTCACTATTGCCAAGGTTGAGAAGGAGAAATATGCCACAGAAAATAAGGTGAGGGCATCTGATAAGCACATCACCCCATGCCTTTAAATGTCATAACCACAATGAATGGACGGTAACTTTGTGTGCGTTATTTTAACACAGGTGAAAAATTTGACAGAGGAGTTGACCACATTAGAGGAAAATCTTCTGAAGTCTTCAAAGGAGATCAAGGCATTGCAAGAGGTGCATCAGCAGACCCTGGATGACCTCCAGGCAGAGGAGGACAAAGTCAACACTCTGACTAAGACAAAGGTCAAGCTAGAGCAACAGGTTGATGATGTAAGCATCGAGTGACTTGTACACTTTTGTCTTTTGTTAGCATTCTTTCAAGATTTTCCCACAGTCATTGATTGTTCTGGACTATGATCTCCTTCCAGCTTGAGGGATCTCTAGAGCAGGAGAAGAAGGTGCGTGCAGATTTGGAAAGAGCCAAAAGAAAACTTGAGGGAGATCTCAAGCTGTCACAGGAAAATGTTATGGACCTGGAGAATGAAAGACAACAAATGGATGAACGATTAAAAAAGTAATTTAGAAATGATCATTGAGTTTATGGAGATTAAACTCTTGATTCACATTTTGATAGAGTAGTAGTTGAAAGTGATAGAAACAGCACAAACAATGGAGCATCAACTAATTTTCATATAATGAAATGAAATGTACAAACATTTTTTTCAGGAAGGATTTAGAGTTCAGTTACCTGCAAGGTAGATTTGAGGATGAACAAATACTGAGCACTCAACTTCAGAAGAAAATAAAGGAGTTTCAGGTATGTGGTTTGTGAAAATAAATTAAATGCATACATTGTAACTTTTGTCAAAATTCTGATGTAATTATTATTTTTACCACAGGCTCGCATTGAGGAACTCGAAGAGGAAATCGAAGCTGAGCGCTCTGCTCGGGCCAAGATAGAGAAGCAAAGGTCTGATTTCTCCAGGGAACTTGAGGAGATCAGTGAGAGACTGGAAGAAGCTGGTGGAGCCACTGCTTCCCAGATTGAGGCAAACAAGAAGCGCGAAAGTGAGTTTCAGAGGCTGCGTCGTGATCTCGAAGAGTCAACCCTGCAGCATGAGTCAATCACTGCTGCTCTCCGCAAGAATCAGGCAGACAGCGTGGCAGAACTGGGAGAACAAATAGACAACCTCCACAGAGTTAAGCAGAAACTGGAGAAGGAGAAAAGTGAATACAAGATGGAAATTGATGACTTGGCCAGCAACGTGGAGAGTGTCCTCAAAAGCAAGGTAGGTTCAACATATGTTGACCATATTGATATTCAACATACTAAATAAACTAATTCACGATTCACCAGCCTGGTCTCATAGACTAGCGGTAATATAGTAAACGTAAATCCGGGACGTTCAAATTAGGATGATATGTTTCGATTGGTATGGTTACATAAGACAGAAGGTTGCTTAAGGCAAAAAACAAAAGTAGGTTGGGTGGGTGGTTGGTCGGGGCGGGTGGGTGTATAATGCGAACGTCTAGCAATCCGTAGATTATGTGGGTGGGTGGATGGGTGGTTGGTTGGTTGGGGGCGAGTGGGCGTATAATGCGAACATCTAGCAATCGAGCTACTTTGCAACTACTTAGCATGATAGCTAACCCTTCCCCTAACCTTAACCCTTTAACCTAACCTTAACCTTAACCCGAACCTTAACCCCTAGCCTAGAATTGTGATATGTTCCGAATTGCAATTTGTACAATATATTATGAATTTGCTAAACGTATTATATGTTACGAATTCCAATTTGTTGTGGCTAACATTAGCTTTTTATTTTTTATACACTGCTCAAAAAAATAAAGGGAACACTAAAATAACACATCCTAGATCTGAATGAATGAAATAATCTATTAATACTTTTTTCTTTACATAGTTGAATGTGCTGAACAACAAAATCACACAAAAATTATCAATGGAAATCAAATTATCAACCCATGGAGGTCTGGATTGGAGTCACCTCAAAATAAAGTGGAAAACCACACTACAGGCTGATCCAACTTTGATGTAATGTCCTTAAAACAAGTCAAAATGAGGCTCAGTAGGTGTGTGGCCTCCACGTGCCTGTATGACCTCCCTACAATGCCTGGGCATGCTCCTGATGAGGTGGCGGATGGTCTCCTGAGGGATCTCCTCCCAGACCTGGACTAAAGCATCCGCCAACTCCTGGACAGTCTGTGGTGCAACGTGGCGTTGGTGGATGGAGCGAGACATGATGTCCCAGATATGCTCAATTGGATTCAGGTCTGGGGAACGGGCGGGCCAGTCCATAGCATCAATGCCTTCCTCTTGCAGGAACTGCTGACACACTCCAGCCACATGAGGTTTAGCATTGTCTTGCATTAGGAGGAACCCAGGGCCAACCGCACCAGCATATGGTCTCACAAGGGGTCTGAGGATCTCATCTCGGTACCTAATGGCAGTCAGGCTACCTCTGGCGAGCACATGGAGGGCTGTGCGGCCCCCCAAAGAAATGCCACCCCACACCATGACTGACCCACCGCCAAACCGGTCATGCTGGAGGATGTTGCAGGCAGCAGAACGTTCTCCACGGCGTCTCCAGACTCTGTCACGTCTGTCACATGTGCTCAGTGTGAACCTGCTTTCATCTGTGAAGAGCACAGGGCGCCAGTGGCAAATTTGCCAATCTTGGTGTTCTCTGGCAAATGCCAAACGTCCTGCACGGTGTGGGCTGTAAGCACAACCCCCACCTGTGGACGTCGGGCCCTCATACCACCCTCATGGAGTCTGTTTCTGACCGTTTGAGCAGACACATGCACATTTGTGGCCTGCTGGAGGTCATTTTGCAGGGCTCTGGCAGTGCTCCTCCTGCTCCTCCTTGCACAAAGGCGGAGGTTAGCATCCTGCTGCTAGTTGTTGCCCTCCATACGGCCTCCTCCACGTCTCCGATGTACTGGCCTGTCTCCTGGTAGCGCCTCCATGCTTGGACACTATGCTGACAGACACAGCAACTTTTTTTCATTTTGCCACAGCTCGCATTGAGTCCATCCTGGATGAGCTGCACTACCTGGCCACTTGTGTGGGTTTAGACTCCGTTCTCATGCTACCACTAGAGTGAAAGCACCGCCAGCATTCAAAGTGACCAAAACATCAGCCAGGAAGCATAGGAACTGAGAAGTGGTTGGTCACCACCTGCAAAACCAGTCCCTTTATTGGGGGTTGGTCTTGCTAATTGCCTATAATTTCCACCTGTTGTCTATTCCATTTGCACAACAGCATGTGAAATTTATTGTCAATCAGTGTTGCTTCCTAAGTGGACAGTTTGATTTCACAGAAGTGTGATTGACTTGGAGTTACATTGTGTTGTTGAAGTGTTCCCTTTATTTTTTTGAGCAGTGTATTTTAGGCTAACCTTGAGAAACTGTGCAGAACTCTTGAAGACCAAAGTAATGAGTACAAGAACAAATGTGACGAGGCCCATGAGTCTCTAAATTATTACACTGCCCTGAATGCTCGCTTGCAAACAGAAAATTGTAAGTTTCAGGTAAATTCCTGTGTACATGAAGGACACCAAGGACTTGATACATAGTTTGAGAACTACGCTGCTAATGTGCTACTTTTACTGTATACCTTGAATAGGTGAGCTCACACGCCAGCTTGAGGAGAAGGAGTTAACTGTGTCCCAGCTGACCAGAGTGAAACTAGTGTGCAGTCAACAGATTGAAGAGCTGAAGAGACTTTTGGAGGAGGAAGTTAAGGTTATACAAACTCTTGCCAATTACAAGCCATGGTTATTTCACCATGACAATATAAGCTAAGACTAATTTATGAATTGTCTCTGGCTTTAGGCTAAGAATGCCCTGGCCCATGGTTTACAATCAACCCGCCATGACTGTGATCTGCTCCGGGAGCAGTATGAGGAGGAGCAGGAGTCCAAGGTTGAGCTGCAGAGGAGCATGTCCAAGGCCAACAGTGAGGTAGCTCTGTGGAGAACCAAGTATGAGACTGATGCCATCCAGCGCACTGAGGAACTTGAGGATGCTAAGTAAGAACTACCACAACAAATATATCCTAATAACACATAAGTGCGCTGATGGGTAAAACATATATTATTTTGCAACATACAGTAATTAATTAATTGATTGATTTACTATTGTGTGTTCCCTTTTAAGGAGGAAGCTTGCCCAGCGCCTCCAGGATTCTGAAGAGCAGACAGAGGCAATGAACGCAAAGTGTGCCTCACTGGAGGAGACCAAGCAGAGACTACAAGCAGAGCTGGAGGACCTCATGGTCGAGATGGAGAGGTCCAATTCAGCCATTGTCACCCTGGACAAGAAACAGAGGAACTTTGACAATGTAATCCTATTGACTTCTTTAGTGTCTCAATGACTAAAGACTGTGGTGTGGTTCGGTCTCAACAATTGGATTGACTTTCATGTGATCTTTTTTAATATCAGGTTCTTGCTGAATGGAAACAGAAGTATGAAGAGACCCAGTCTGAGCTGGACGGCTCACAAAGGGAGTTCAGGTCTCTGAGCACAGAGCTATTCAAGATAAAAAACTCATTTGAAGAAGCCCTGGATCACTTAGAGAACATGAAGAGAGAGAATAAGAACCTTCAACGTATGATAGTCATCACCCTTGAAAATCAAAACAACATATCCTCATAGAATGTATGTATGTGTTTTAGCTTATAGGCCTGCATGTAACAAACATATTGTTTTGTCAATTTTCAGAGGAGATAACAGATATCACTGAACAAGTGGGACAATCTGCAAAGACCTTCCATGAACTGGATAAGGCAGCGAAACAAGCTGAACAGGACAAGATGGACACCCAAACAGCTCTTGAAGAAGCTGAGGTTCGCCATTTTCTCACACATATTGTGCATTCCCCCACATTTATTATTTGAAATTTGAATATGACCGCAAATGTTTCTGTTCTGTGCACCTGTCTTCTTCTAGTCCTCCCTTGAACATGAAGAGGCCAAGATGCTCCACCTTCAACTGGAGTTGAACCAGATCAAGTCAGAGGTTGACAGAAAGGTGGCAGAGAAAGATGAGGAAATAGACCAGCTGAAGAGGAACCATCAGAGGACCGTGGACACCCTGCAGAGTGCTCTAGATTCTGAAGACCCGCAGCAGAAACGATGCCGTCAGAGTCAAGAAGAAGATGGAAGGGGACCTAAATGAGATGGAGATTCAGCTGTGCCATGCCAACCACCAAGCAGCTGATGCTACCAAGCAGCTCAGAAACATCCAGGGCCAGCTCAAAGTTAGTGTTTGACTCCAGAAACTCATTTTATAAAAACCATAACACTCACCATCTCTATCAAAGTTCTAATCAGTAGGTATTGGACTTATTCATGACCTTTCTGTTTCAGGACTCTCAGGTCCATTTGGACGATGCCCTCCATGGGCAGGAGGACCTGAAGGAACAGCTGGCCATTGTAGAACGCCGCAATACACTGATGATGGCAGAGATTGAGGAGATGAAGGCAGCACTAGAGCAGTCCGAGAGGTGCCGTAAACTGGCCGAGCAGGAGCTGGTCGACGTGAGCGAGAGGATGCACCTGTTGCACTCTCAGGTGAGGCCCCATAAGCAAATAAAAAATGTGGCCTTAAGTGAAATGTATGAATTTAATTTATTCTGTTACCCTCTCTCTTTACTCATTTAACAGAGCACTAGTCTCATCAGCACAAAAAAGAAGATGGAGTCTGACATAACTCAGCTGCAATCAGAGGTGGAAGATGTAGTCCAAGAAGCCAGAAATGCAGATGAGAAAGCTAAAAAGGCTATTATAGATGTAAGTCCGAAGTCAGTGTAAATCTCAGTCCAAATGAAGTCTGTTCAAACAATGTCTTGATCGATTGCAAATTATTTATCGATAGGCTGCCATGATGGCTGAGGAGCTGAAGAAGGAGCAGGACACCAGCGCTCACATGGAGAGGATGATGAAGAACCTGGAGGTCACTGTTAAAGACTTGCAGCAGCGTCTGGATGAGACTGAGCAGTTAGCCATGAAAGGTGGAAAAAAAGAGCTCCAGAAACTAGAGACCAGGGTAAGGATAAAGATACATGTTTTATTTCCAGTTCACGCTCTCTTAGTTGGTGATTCATTCTTAATCAATTATTTACACTCAAGGTTAGAGAGGTGGAGAATGAACTGGAGGCAGAGCAGAAACGTGGTGGGGAAGCCATGAAGGGTGTGCGGAAATATGAGAGAAAAGTCAAGGAGCTCACATATCAGGTAAAATATGTTTGGTTGCTTATTCCTGAATTGCACCAAATCATGATAAAATATGAGAGTAATGAATAACTCTGGGTTTGTAGGGTGAGGAAGACAAGAAGAATGCAGACAGACTGCAGGACTTGGTCAACAAGCTGCAGCTGAGGGTGAAAGCTTACAAAAGGCAGTGTGAGGAGGCGGTGAGTACAATATATTATTGGCAACGACTGTACATTTTATTATTAGATAAATAGGACAACTGTTCACCACTTCTAACTTATCTGTCTCTTTATTTTTCTGTGAACTACAGGAGGAGCAGACCAGTATCAATTTGGCCAAATCCAGGAAGGTGCAACATGAGCTTGACGAAGCTGAGGAGCGGGCAGACATAGCAGAATCCCAAGTGAACAAATTAAGAGCTAAGAGTTGTGATGTTGGTGGCAAGAGAGAAGAATAGAGATATGGGCATCTTCTGCTGATGGTGCTGTAATTCATGTTTAGAATTACAATAACTCAGACATAGAATGTAGATACAGTATACAGTAATTATTGTTGCAAAGATACATGCCTGCTTACACTATTGTACGTACCTGTATGTTAGCATTCCCTGTGCTATAGTTTGACCACCATGCTTAGATGTTCTGCTTAAAAGCAGAAAATGGCATTACAATGAAATACAGTACAAATCAATTTTACTTATAAAACTATAATTAAATACTGCAAAGTATCATACTGGTCTATTATCTTTGTTTCATTAGAGGTAACACTTTTAGCATAGATTATATAGCAAATGGGTTTTAGTTATCTTATATTCAAATAGATGGACATGTTAAGACACTATATTTTAACAATAGTTTAAAAGCAAAATTACATTCTGTAGTATGTTGGAGACAGCTCTGGATCCAACTTTGAGTGAATACTGACAGCTCAACTTGCTGATTCCAGGAATAGTTATTGGACAACAGCTGACATAGACTGTAGGAGACATACAGCTTGATTCTAGGCGAGACAGAGTGCAGAAAAATAAAATCCAAAAGCATTTGATTAAAATGCCAGGCATCTTTGGAGATACACTTATACTCCAGGAGATTAGCTTCCCCTCATACAGAGTTATGTCAGAGGTGTCCACTTCAAACAATAACTAATCTCTCATTTATCAAAGAGACTGTCAGAAGCCACAGTACATCAAAATCATCCACTGCTTTTATCAGTAACGATCATGAATACGCAATGACTTTAGAAGATGAAAAGATATTAGGACGTTGAGAATGCAAACACATTGTCCACTTACTCTCCACATATAGATACTGTGCATACCAGAATCACTGTGTGAGTTCCTGAACCTCTCCCCCAGCTCACTCTAATCATAAAATGCATCCCATCTCGTTAAAACATCCAAACTCAGAGCTTACTAACGACAGAAAAAAACATTGGTTTTGATGGGTACATTGTGTGAAGCACAGAGATCAAGGAACACTGTCTTGTTAATCTGACATACATGCTGTTAAACATGAGATCCTTAAGGATGGAACTCATGATAGATATTCATATGATTGCAAAAACAGTTGCTCACTGCTTGCATTGGTTCCCTTGATGTAGTATTGTTCAACGACCAACAGATGGAGGCACTTCCTTTGTCTTCAACACTCCCACCCAACACACATCCCCACACAGCGGGAGAGAGAGAATGAGTGAATGTGTAAACAAGTGACATCAAGCTACAATAATCAAGCTATTCTGTAATGTGGCAGGCAACAAAAATCATGCTTAATTGAATCACACCAACTTATTACCCATTGCTATCCTATTGCTGCACACAAATATTCGTACAAGTTAACGCAACAGTTTCACCTGCAGATAACTTGTCATGTATATATGTAGCAGTGGAGGAATCAAAATATAATTTTGTAGGATGGTTTGAAGCTATAAAGTGACCTATTTACTGGTGATTGGTCAACCAGCCACTTCAATGTACACAAACAGTATCTTCCTGTTACACTGTTGGTTCTCATTCTCTGCAGTTGAACAAAAACAATACAACACTACTTCACATCCCTGCAAAAAATGGGTTTTGTTGGATTATGATAAGGTAATAACCTTTTGAATTAGGATCTTATATTGTGTTATAGCATAGTACTAAGATATGTAATGCTAAGTCATATTCTTTTTTTTTTTTAAACACAGAGAAATGTAAATTAGAAGTAAACGGCTGCACAGTGCACCTATAAGGAAGGATCAAGAGGAAATACTCACCAGAAAAGTAACTCTCTGATGCACCTAACTAACGCACAGATGATGACGCCGCAACATTTTGTGAGCATTGTAGGTACGAGGTACCGCGTGGATTATTGAAAGCTTGGTTTTGAACAGCCCTCATCACATTCAGTTCCACTAATTGGCAGCAGCTGTCATTTACATGACATTTGTAGCTGTCCTTGACCCTGTTGATGAAGGGTTAGTTAATTACTGCTGTGTGACTTTCACTCTGGGTCACATTGACACAGGCTGAGGCAACAAGTGTGACGATAAACACTCAAAGGCAATGGGGGGGACATGATGGGGAAGCCCTGTACTTGAGGAACTGGACACTCAGTTCAGACAGGTGCTTAGCAGCATTAAATGACAGCTGCAGTGTCTCATTACAGTACAGTACATAACACAATGCACTCGAGGTTTCCGTTAGTGGATTTTATTTTATATTAGAAAAATATAGGCTACATAAACATAATTGATATCAATTTGTATCCTTTCTTAAATCAGTGTAAACACTTTAGCCCTAAGCCGGCTTGATTTAATAGAACGTCTATGGAAGGGATGAACAACTCTCTCTCTGCCCAGATATAAAATAGTCTCTGATCAAAAGATGAGGACCAAAACCATCACACACCACAGCCCTCTGTGACTGTTGTTGTGCAACCCTGCCCTCTGGCCTTAGCAGAATGCTGTGAACGTGTTCCACTAGTTAGCAGGAGCACTCCCAAGACATAAGCAAGGTGATATTTCTCCACAAGGACCTATGGTCAAACTCATCATGTAATGGGTATGGCTCTTTCTAATTGACCACAAAAGAGCTACTGTGAGTGTGTAATCATTCAACCATCTTAATTTATTTTTAAATGCTGTAATGTGTTTTCAAACTGTCACTCCTCAGTCCGCCTTTCACACTCCTCACTTAACACTGTGAGACTCCCCATGCTTGTTCTAAATGTTCCTTTAATGTATCTCAGCAACCTTGAATATGGAAATCTAGAAGCTTGATACCATAATGTTTTAATCTGAAAACTAGCTAGAGAACCATTACAGGCCCTTTGATTTCAAAACTGGTAACCTTGCAATTTATGAGGTACATCCACTAAATATGAAAGCTCATGTCATAGCTAAAGCAATTGTTTGACTACAGATGTAGGATCTTAATTTGAGCTAGCTTGCTACAGCAGGAAAATAATCATGCAGTAACAGAAAATGTGAATTACACTATATATACAAAAGTATATGGACACCCCTTCGAATTAGTGGATTTGGCTATTTCAGCCACACCCGTTGCTGACCGGTGTATAAAATTGAGCACACAGCCATGCAATCTCCATAGACAAACATTGGCTGTAGAATGGTCTTACTGAAGTGCTCAGTGACTTTCAACGTGGCACCATCATAGGATGCCACCTTTCCAACAAGTCAGTTCGTCAAATTTCTGCCCTGCTAGAGATGCCACGGTCAACTGTAAGTGCTGTTATTGTGAAGTGGAAACGTCTACGAGCAACAACGGCTCAGCCGCAAAGTGGTAGGCCACACAAACTCACAGAAAGGGACCGCCGAGTGCTGAAGCGCATAGCGCATAACAATCGTTTGTCCTCAGTTGCAACACTCACTACCGAGTCCCAAACTGCCTCTGGAAGCAACGTCAGCACAAGAACTGTTCGTCGGGAGCTTCATGAAATTGGTTTCAATGACCGAGCAGTGCACACAAGCCTAAGATCACCATGCGCAATGCCGAGTGTTGGCTGGAGTGGTGTAAAGCTCGCCGCCATTGGACTCTGGAGCAGTGGAAACGCGTTCTCTTGAGTGATAAATCATGCTTCACCCTCTGGCAGTCTGACGGACAAATCTGGGTTTGGCGGATGCCAGGAGAACGCTACCAGCCCCAATGCATAGTGCCAAATTTAAAGTCTGGTGGAGGAGGAATAATGGTCTGGGGCTGTTTTTCATGGTTTGGGCTAGGCCCCTTAGATCCAGTGAAGGGAAATCTTAACGCTACAGCATACAATGACATTCTAGACGATTCTGTGCTTCCAACTTTGTGGCAACAGCTTGGGGAAGGCCCTTTCCTGTTTCAGTATGACAATGCCCCTGTGCACAAAGCAAGGTCCATACAGAAATTGTTTGTTGAGATCGGTGTGGAAGAACTTGACTGGCCTGCACAGAGCCCTGACCTCAACCCCATCAAACACCTTTGGGATGAATTGGAACGCCAACTGCAAGCCAGGCCTAATCGCCCAACATAAGTGACCAGCCACAGAAACTACCAGCTGGGGGCCACATCTGCCCCCTCCAACGGAAGCAGCTGATGGGGAAGGATTTGTGGGAATCCCCTCTTAAGCCATAGGACACTGCCGAAACAAAGGTTCACTACAGTTTACACGCACAAGGAAACTAGCAAACAAATGAGATGTAATTTAATAAAGATGAGTTGATTTAATTAGTGACACAGATGATTGAGCAATTTGAGTTTGCTCAAACTAATAAACATTTTGTGAAATTGCTGAAGGAACCCACATGTATCCAAGTCGCTGAACGTGAAGGTGACTAAAGGTCATGTGTTCCTCAAGGATATACAACTAGGTGAAGAGGGATTTTGAAGTCACTACCCACTGGGCACAGACGTCAATTCACTGTCTAGTCCACATTGGTTCACGTGACGTGGAAACAATGTTGATTCAACCAGTGTGTACCCAGTGGGTAGTGTTGATTGGGTGATATAAGGTACACATTTTACAGCCAGAAATACACACAATGACACCTTCACCCTCCAAATCAACACTGCTAATAACAAAGTGTATTAAAACGTTTACAAATGTCCCTGAATAACAGAAATGCTGTGCTTCTGGTTTATTGTAACCTTGAAAATACAATTCATAAAATTGAGATGCATTAATTAGCCTACTGTACTGTATGTGAATAGCTAACAGCATGGTTTGACAGGATCGAAGTATGTAAAAATAGAGTTTGAGGATCATCACGTGTTGCTGGTGACACGTCCCCATTACCACTTGAAGATCGTGCTCCATATGTAAGTGTTGAGCAGAAATTGATAATGTGACTTGAGATTTGGGTAGAATTACATGCCCAAATTCGGAGGGCCATTTTTTGCTTGACCAGCACATTCATCTTCATAAAAGGACCACAACTGCACTGTGTTCTTCACTGAGATGCCTGGCATCTACTAGGCTAACCAGCGGTAAGAGCCTATACATTTCCATTCTCAGCCTGTCTTCAATCCAAAGTCAGGTTCAGGGAGCATAGTCCTGCGCTCTGTTTAACTGGAATCACGCATCAGGACCATGGAGTAAATTGATAAAGACAAAGCCACTTATTAGCCTATACTAACACTCTGGTGATAGTGCTTTTTGTGTTTATTTTGCAGAACGGAGGCACACTGTAAACGGTGTACATTCTATTGTGGTGTGAGGACGGTAAATTAAGACAGAAAGACATTTGATGAAAATACTTTTGATGACAATATCATCATAATACATAAAAAATATGATATTTCATGAATACATTATACACACAATTTTACAAAGAAGCACAATAAACATAGTATGTTTTGTTTTCTTATTAATATCTAGGTAAAAGTGAACTGCCATCATGAGCTCGGACGCGGAGATGGCCGCTTTTGGAGCAGCCGCCATCTATCTTCACAGCCTGAGAAGGAGAGTATTGAGGCTCAGACCCGGCCCTTTGATGCCAAGAATGCCTGCTTTGTGCCAGATGTCAAGGATCTGTACATCAAAGGAGTCGTCCAGAACAGAGAAGGAGGCAAAGTCACAGTGAAATGTGGGAATGGAGAGGTTGGTCCTATTGTATCTGACCAATTAGTTATAAACTTTCCCATTTGCAAATCTCTGAGTTATTTGATTTCAAATGGAATTTTTGAAATATCTACAACAACGTTAAAAGCATTAATAACTTTTCATTGCATGGTGTGTCATCATTGTAAACACACTTTTTTAGACGGTAACCATGAAGGAAGAGGACGTTCATCAGATGAATCCTCCAAAGTATGATAAGATGGAGGACATGGCCATGATGACCTACCTCAACGAGCCGTCTGTGCTGTATAACCTCAAAGATCGTTATGCAGCATGGATGATCTACAGTGAGGGAAAAAAGTATTTGATCCCCTGCTGATTTTGTACGTTTGCCCACTGACAAAGACATGATCAGTCTATAATTTTAATGGTAGGTTTATTTGAACAGTGAGAGACAGAATAACAACAACAAAAATCCAGAAAAACACATGTAAAAAATGTTATAAATTGATTTGCATTTTAATGAGGGAAATAAGTATTTGACCCCTCTGCAAAACATGACTTAGTACTTGGTGGCAAAACCCTTGTTGGCAATCACAGAGGTCAGACGTTTCTTGTAGTTGGCCACCAGGTTTGCACACATCTCAGGAGGGATTTTGTCCCACTCCTCTTTGCAGATCTTCTCCAAGTCATTAAGGTTTCGAGGCTGACGTTTGGCAACGAACCTTCAGCTCCCTCCACAGATTTTCTATGGGATTAAGGTCTGGAGACTGGCTAGGCCACTCCAGGACCTTAATGTGCTTCTTGGGCCACTCCTTTGTTGCCTTGGCCGTGTGTTTTGGGTCATTGTCATGCTGGAATACCCATCCACGACCCATTTTCAATGCCCTGGCTGAGGGAAGGAGATTCTCACCCAAGATTTGACGGTACATGGCCCCGTCCATCGTCCCTTTGATGCGGTGAAGTTGTACTGTCCCCTTAGCAGAAAAACACCCCCAAAGCATAATGTTTCCACCTCCATGTTTGACGGTGGGGATGGTGTTCTTGGGGTCATAGGCAGCATTCCTCCTCCTCCAAACACGGCGAGTTGAGTTGATGCCAAAGACCTCGATTTTGGTCTCATCTGACCACAACACTTTCACCCAGTTCTCCTCTGAATTATTCAGATGTTCATTGGCAAACTTCAGACGGGCCTGCATATGTGCTCTCTTGAGCAGGGGGACCTTGCGGGCGCTGCAGGATTTCAGTCCTTCACGGCGCAGTGTGTTACCAATTGTTTTCTTGGTGACTCTGGTCCCAGCTGCCTTGAGATCATTGACAAGATCCTCCCGTGTAGTTCTGGGCTGATTCCTCACCGTTCTCATGATCATTGCAACTCCACGAGGTGAGATCTTGCATGGAGCCCCAGGCTGAGGGAGATTGACAGTTATTTTGTGTTTCTTCCATTAGCGAATAATCGCACCAACTGTTGTCACTTTCTCACCAAGCTGCTTGGCGATGGTCTTGTAGCCCATTCCAGCCTTGTGTAGGTCTACAATCTTGTCCCTGACATCCTTGGAGAGCTCTTTGGTCTTGGCCATGGTGGAGAGTTTGGAATCTGATTGATTGATTGCTTCTGTGGACAGGTGTCTTTTATACAGGTAACAAACTGAGATTAGGAGCAGTCCCTTTAAAAGTGTGCTCCCAATCTCAGCTCGTTACCTGTATAAAAGACACCTGGGAGCCAGAAATCTTTCTGATTGAGAGGGGGTCAAATACTTATTTCCCTCATTAAAATGCAAATCAATTTATAACATTTTTGACATGCGTTTTTCTGGATTTTTTTGTTGTTATTCTGTCTCTCACTGTTCAAATAAACCTACCATTAAAATTATAGACTGATCATTTCTTTGTCAGTGGGCAAACGTACAAAATCAGCAGGGGATCAAATACTTTTTTAATTATGTGACTTCTGAATGTAATTGGTTGCACCAGATCTTATTTAGGTGCTTCATAGCAAAGGGGGTGAATACATATGCACGCACCACTTTTTTATGTCCATTACATGAAATCCAAATAGAAATCCATTTAAATTACAGGTTGTAATGCAACAAAATACGAAAAATGCCAAGGATGATGAATACTTTTGCCAGGCACTGTATAAACATGCTCTTGTTAGCAAAACCACAAAGCCATTAATCTCTGTTGATTTTCACCTGGTGTTTATACAGTGCCCTCCGTAATTATTGGGACAGAAGCATTTTTTCTTCTTTTGTGTCACGATCGTCATTCATAGAGGAGGACCAAGGCGCAGCGTTGAATGCGAACATTTTATTAAATGAATGAACACACGAACACGAACAAAAACAACAAAACGAAAACGTGACGTCCCTGGTTACATACACGAACCAACACGGAACAAGAAACCACAAATAATGAATGCCTAACGGCTACCTAAGTATGACTCCCAATCAGAGACAACGAGCTACAGCCGTCTCTGATTGGGAGCCACCCTGGCCAACATAGACATACAACAACTAGAACACAAACAAATGAAAACTCACACCCTGGCTCAACATACTAGAGTCCCCAGAGCCAGGGCGTGACATTTTGGCTCTATACTCCAAACGTTTGGATTTGAAATTGTTTAGAAATTACAGCACTTTTTGTTCATAGCCCCCCCATTTTAGGGGACCAAAGGTATTGGGACAAATTAAGTTATATGTGTATTAAAGTAGTCAAAAGTTTAGTATTTGGTTCCATATTCCTAGCACACAATGGCTACATCAAGCTTGTGACTACAAATTTGTTGGATGCATTTTCTGTTTGTTTTGGTTGTGTTTCAGATTATTTTGTGCCCAATATAAATTAATAGTAAATAATGTATTGTGTCATTTTGGAGCCACTTTTATTGAAATAAGAATAGAATATGTTTCTAAACACTTCTAAGAAAAAGTGTCACTGTCCCAATAATTACGGAGGGCACTGTGCATGCACCTACAGTATATCAACTGCATCTGTGTCTCAGTAAACAACGTTGTTGCAGGTCTGCTTTAAAGCCAGTCTGCTGGGCACTCTTGAAGAGTTGCGAGATGAAAAACTGGCCCCTCTGGTGACAGGCACTCAAGCATTGTGCCGTGGGTACCTCATGAGAAAATAAATTTCTCAGCTGGCTATAAAGAAGTAAGACAACCCATCAATTGAAATATTCTTATCCTTATCTTTAAAAGAAAGTACATGCTTAGAACATTAGAACTGGGCATTACAATTACCTATTTTTCAGAGATTGTGTGTTCATTCTGCAATACAACCTCCGCTCATTCATGAATGTGAAACACTGGTCATGGATGAAGCTGTACTTCAAGATCAAGCCCCTTCTGAAGAGTGCAGAGAGTGAAAAGGAGGTGGAAAAGATGAAGGAGGACTTTGTCAAATGTAAGGAGGACCTGGCAAAGGCAGAGGCCAAGAGAAAGGAACTGGAGGAGAAGATGGTTTCTCTGTTCTCGGAGAAACAAAACCTCATGTTACAAGTTCAATCTGTAAGTGCTATTAGAATTGTCAACATGAACTATCACTGTTTTTAAACAGACAGGGTCATTATTGTAGTCATCTGAGGGGTACTGTTATATCAGTTTGTTCATTGTAGTGTTTAAGAAGTGTTCCATTAGACAGACACGTTGACTGGACAATCGGTTTTCCTAGGATTCCGAAACTCTTTCGGATGCAGAGGAGAGATGAGGCTTTCATAAAAAGCAAAATACAGCTTGAAGCCAAACTGAAAGAGTTGACAGAGAGACTGGATGATGAAGACAAAATCAATTCTGAGCTGACTGCCAAGAAGAGGAAGCTGGATGATGACCACCTCAAGCTGAACCCTGGCAAGACGGAGCTGTTCTTCCTCCCGGGGAAGGACTGCCCGTTCCATGATCTCGCCATCACGGTTGACAACTCCGCTGTGTCCTCCTCCCAGAGTGCGAAGAGCCGAGGCGTGACCCTGGACAACACCCTGTCGTTCTCCGCCAACATCAAGGCGGTGACCCGCTCCTGCAGGTTCATGCTCTACAACATTCGGAGAGTACGACCCTGCCTTACACAGGAAGCGGCACAGGTCCTAATCCAGGCACTTGTCATCTCCCGTCTGGACTACTGCAACTCGCTGTTGGCTGGCCTCCCTGCCTGTGCCATTAAACCCCTACAACTCATCCAGAATGCCGCAGCCCGTCTGGTGTTCAACCTTCCCAAGTTCTCTCACGTCACCCCCCTCCTCCGCACACTCCACTGGCTTCCAGTTGAAGCTCGCATCCGCTACAAGACCATGGTGCTTGCCTATGGAGCAGTGAGGGGAACGGCACCTCTGTACCTTCAGGCTCTGATCAGTCCCTACACCCAAACGAGGGCATTGCGCTCATCCACCTCTGGCCTGCTGGCTCCCCTTCCTCTGCGGAAGCATAGTTCCCGCTCAGCCCAGTCAAAACTGTTCGCTGCTCTGGCACCCCAATGGTGGAACAAGCTCCCTCACGACGCCAGGACAGCGGAGTCACTCACCACCTTCCGGAGACATTTGAAACCCCACCTCTTTAAGGAATACCTGGGATAGGATAAAGGAATCCTTCTACCCCCCCCCCCCCCCCCCCCCCCCCCCCAATTGTAAAGTGGTTATCCCACTGGCTATAGGGTGAACGCACCAATTTGTGAGTCGCTCTGGCTAAGAGCGTCTGCTAAATGACGTTAATGTGCCCTTGAGCAAGGCACTTAACCCTAATTGCTCCTGTAAGTCGCTCTGGATAAGAGCGTCTGCTAAATGACTAAAATGTAAATGTAAATGTAATGCTCTGAGCTGAAGAAAGATATTGATGACTTAGAGCTCACCTTGGCCAACGTGGAGAAGGAGAAGCATGCCACTGAAAACAAGGTTTGCATTTTAATATGAAGCTGCAGTATCCATCATCCTCTTTGCGTGTCTTTTACTAACATGACTATGCCATTGCAGGTTAAAAACCTCACAGAGGAGATGTCTGGTCAGGATGAAAGCCTTTCCAAGTTGACCAAGGAGAAGAAAGCTCTCCAAGAGGCACATCAGCAGACCCTTGATGATCTCCAGGCAGAGGAGGACAAAGTCAACACTCTGACAAAAGCAAAGGTTAAGCTTGAACAACAAGTGGATGATGTCAGTAACACATTATCAGTAGAAAAAGCATTGCATTGTAATGCTTTAACTTAATTATATCGCTACTTGTTTTCATACCACAGCTTGAGGGTTCTCTGGAGCAAGAGATGACGATTCGCATGGACCTTGAGAGAGCCAAGAGAAAGCTTGAGTGTGATGTGAAACTGACACATGAAGCCATAATGGATCTGGAGAATGAAAAGCAGCAGTCAGATGAAAAACCTAAGAAGTAAAATCAGAAACCGCTGAAGTAATAAGCAAGATTTCCTCTGTTGTGGTCAAATGTACTCAATATATTTCCTCTTTGTAGGAAAGACTTTGAAACAGCCCAGTTGCAAAGCAAAATTGAGGATGAGCTAACACTGAGCTCCCAGCTTCAAAAGAAGATTAAGGAACACAATGTAATACAGTAAAAAATGAAATATCTTTAAAATGATTAGCTCAAATTTGGCAGATTGTTTGGTTTAAAATGGTATGTTTTCTCTCAAGGCTCGTATTGAGGAACTCAAAGAAGAAATTGAGTCTGAGCGTGCTGCTCGGGCCAAGATAGAGAAGCAGAGGTCTGATCTCTCCAGAGGGCCAGGGCATTGCCATAAATTACCCTATGCATGATATTGAAAAATGATTGGTCTCACTTTGCGCAGGAAAAAGCTTGCCCAACGTCTCCAAGAGGCTGAGGAACAAATTGAGGCGGTGAATGCAAAATGTGCTTCACTGGAGAAGACTAAGCAGAGACTGCAGAGTGAAATGGAGGATCTCGTGGTTGATGTGGAGAGATCCAATAGTATGGCTGCTAACCTTGATAAGAAACAGAGAAACTTTGACAAGGTAATAAAAAAGTTTGATTTGATTTTTTCTAAAAGCCTGAACATCCATGTATTGATGACGATACATGGTTTTAGATTTTAGTTGACTGGAAGCAGAAGCATGAGGAGTCACAGTCGGAGCTGGAAAGTGCTCAGAAAGAATCTCGATCACAAAGCACCTATCTTTTCAAAATGAAAAACTCCTTTGAAGAAGCTCTGGATCATCTGGAAACTCTCAAAAGGGAGAATAAAAACCTGCAACGTAAGTCCAATTTATGAAATGTGACAATCCATGACATAATAGTCACAACACATAAAATCCTTAAGGTTTTACAATATCAAATGACCTGATATTGTCTTTTGACATGTACTGTATGGCTTTCAAAATACAGAGGAGATATTAGACCTATCGGAGCAAATTGGTGAGAGTGGAAAGAGTGTCCATGAACTGGAGAAAGTCAGAAAACAAGTGGAAACAGAGAAAAGTGAGATGCAATCTACACTGGAGGAAGCAGAGGTAACATTATTTTTAAAAAATTTACTCAACTGGCACAATGTTTTAAAAAAATTACACAATTAAGCCAAATCAACAGATTTTAAGGTTTACAATAATGAATATACATTTTCTTTTTGAAGGCATCTATAGAGCATGAGGAATCTAAGATCCTCCGTGCCCAGCTGGAGTTGAACAAGGTGAAGTCTGAGGTGGACAGGAAGCTTGCTGACAAGGATGAGGAGATTGACCAGCTGATTGACAGAGAGTTATTGATTCCATGCAGAGCACTCTGGAATGATGCCCTGCGAGTTAAGAAGAAGATGGAGGGAGACCTCAAAGAGATGGAGATTCAGCTGAGCCATGCTAATAGGCAGGCTGCTGAAGCCCAGAAACAACTGAGGAATGTTCAGGGACAGCTCAAGGTGAGCTGTTACAAACAGTGCTGCTGTGTTTTGCAACATTAAGATGGTGTGCATACTTAATAGGCATTGATAGCCATGCATGTGACAGTAGGTTACATTTAATTGCAAATGAGTGCCTAGGGTTTCAGTCAAAGTTGATCATTAAACCATTCCAGGATGCTCAATTGCACCTTGATGATGCTGTCAGAGGACAGGATGATATGAAGGAGCAGGTCACCATGGTGGAGCGCAGGACCGTCCTGATGCATGCTGAGATTGAGGAACTCAGAGAAGCCCTTGAGCAGGCAGAGAGAGGCCGCAAAGTGGCCGAGCAGGAGCTGATTGAAGCTAGTGAGCGAGTAGGGCTTCTCTACCCCCAGGTTGGTTGTGTGATATGATTCATCAAACCTGACAGTTTTCTCACTTTACAATTGAACTAAACCTCTCTATTCCAAATAGAACACCAGCCTTTTGAACACCAAGAAGAAGTTTGACACAGACATAACTCAACTTCAAGGAGAAGTGGAAGATGCTGTTCAAGAGGCAAGAAATGCAGAGGACAAGGACAAGAAAGCAATTACTGATGTAAGTTCTACAGTCCACAAGCTGTCTCTTTAACACAAACTTCCACAAGCTAAATGAGTTTCATTCAAATACTGTCCCATTCTCAGCCTGCCATGTTGGCAGAGGAGCTGAAGAAGGAGCAGGACACGAGTGGTCACCTGGAGAGGATGAAGAAGAACCTGGAGATCACCGTCAAGGACCTGCAGCACCGTCTAGATGAAGCAGAGAATATTGCCATGAAGGGTGGAAAGAAGCAACTCCAGAAACTGGAGGGCAGGGTATGTAGCTAAGTTAATTATAAAACTGTATTGCAGACTGATTTAAAAACATTGCAAAAAAACGTCTCTATTATCTAGGTCCGTGATCTGGAAAATGAGCTTGAGGCTGAGCAAAAGCGGGGGGTTGATGCTATCAAAGGAGTTCGTAAATATGAGAGGAGGGTCAAAGAGCTCACCTATCAGGTAAGAAATAAGAACGTATTAATGTACCTTATAATCAGGAGTTAAAGTCATATTGTCACAGAAATTGGTTGCGTTTCCATGATCATTTTAACAGAGATGTATTTATTTTCCATTCATGGGCATAGCCCTAGCTTCAAATGAAATTGCAATCCACTTATCGCATTGTCCTGAAAACCATTTTTGAAAAAATAAACTGACACCTGTGATTTCTTTCAGACTGAGGAAGACAAGAAGAATGTTACTAGACTCCAGGATTTGGTGGATAAATTACAGATCAAAGTGAAGGCTTACAAAAGACAGTCCGAGGAAGCTGTAAGCAAATGACATACCAAGGACCATTCTCCACTAGATTTTGAGTGTTCAAGTGAAGGGTGGGCTCTGGCTGCAATAATTAATGTAGGCTAACCTACATTGCATCTCATTCAATTGCAGGAGGAGCAAGCTAATGTTCATATGGCCAACTTCAGAAAGGTGCAGCATGAGCTGGAAGAGGCTAACGGGCGTGCTGACATTGCTGAGTCCCAGGTCAACAAGATTAGAACCAAGAACCGTGACATGGGAACAAAGGTATTGATAAGTTTGAAGTATAGAGTTTTGTTTTGAGTTCCAATTCAACACCAGAGATAATGGCCTTGTCCCTTCCAATCGTAAACACTAGAGGGTACTCTGTGAGTGTCTAAATACATATTAGAGCAGAGAAGAAGAGGCGAAGCAAGAGGTTTTACTCCGACCGAAATCTGTCCACGAAAATAAGCCCACCATGTGAAGGATTTGGAGTGTCGAATTTGGTCAACAAAAAATGTAATTACTAACTTGCTACGTGAGGCTTATTTGATCTAATATAAGTTGTGTAATGGTTAGGTTGTTACAAATGCACTGATATAAGTGGACGCACGTGGCGTTACGGAAACTTGACTTTATATCGGAGTTGTGCCTGTTGTCATAGATATAGATAGAGGATTAATCATGGATATAACGCATTTTAGCATGGACATTGCCATTGAGGGCTTCCACCATTTTAAAGTAGTCAACTGGGTGGGGATTCCTATGAGTTTGGAGCAATCCGCCAATGAAGAAGAAAATGTACTACTTTAAAATTGAGATAGGATCAATGGTGCTGCCCATGCTGTCAGACTATAAACTGGCACAGATACAAAGATGAGTCCTATATCTATCTCTATGGCCTGTTGTTTACACGCGTATCTGCCCTCTCATAGGCTAGAATGGTCTCACCTGAGCTCGCCTCCTCCCGCCTGCCTTCCATCTTTGAGGACATGTATTTCCATTGTTAGAGCAGTCACTCGTATATCTTGTCAATATAATAGACAATCTTTGATAAGAGCTATATACAGTGGGGAGAACAAGTATTTGATACACTGCCGATTTTGCAGGTTTTCCTACTTACATAGCATGTAGAGCTCTGTAATATTTATCATAGGTACACTTCAACTGTGAGAGACGGAATCTAAAACAAAAATCCAGAAAATCACATTGTATGATTTTTAAGTAATTAATTTGCATTTTATTGCATGACATAAGTATATGATCACCTACCAACCAGTAAGAATTCCGTCTCTCACAGACCTGTTCGTTTTTCTCTAAGAAGCCCTCCTGTTCTCCACTCATTACCTGTATTAACTGCACCTGTTTGAACTCGTTACCTGTATAAAAGACACCTGTCCACACACTCAATCAAACAGACTCCAACCTCTCCACAATGGCCAAGACCAGAGAGCTGTGTAAGGACATCAGGGATAAGATTGTAGACCTGCACAAGGCTGGGATGGGCTACAGGACAATAGGCAAGCAGCTTGGTGAGAAGGCAACAACTGTTGGCGCAATTATTAGAAAATGGAAGAAGTTCAAGATGACGGTCAATCACCCTCGGTCTGGGGCTCCATGCAAGATCTCACCTCGTGGGGCATCAATGATCATGAGGAAGGTGAGGGATCAGCCCAGAACTACACGGCAGGACCTGGTCAATGACCTGAAGAGAGCTGGGACCACAGTCTCAAAGAAAACCATTAGTAACACACTACGCCGTCATGGATTAAAATCCTGCAGCGCACGCAAGGTCCCCCTGCTCAAGCCAGCGCATGTCCAGGCCTGTCTGAAGTTTGCCAATGACCATCTGGATGATCCAGAGGAGGAATGGGAGAAGGTCATGTGGTCTAATGAGACAAAAATAGAGCTTTTTGGTCTAAACTCCACTCGCCGTTTTTGGAGGAAGAAGAAGGATGAGTACAACACCAAGAACACCATCCCAACCGTGTAGCATGGAGGTGGAAACATCATTCTTTGGGGATGCTTTTCTGCAAAGGGGACAGGACGACTGCACCGTATTGAGGGGAGGATGGATGGGGCCATGTATCGCGAGATCTTGGCCAACAACCTCCTTCCCTCAGTAAGAGCATTGAAGATGGGTCATGGCTGGGTCTTCCAGCATGACAACGACCTGAAACACAAAGCCAGGGCAACTAAGGAGTGGCTCTGTAAGAAGCATCTCAAGGTCCTGGAGTGGCCTAGCTAGTCTTCAGACCTGAACCCAATAGAACATCTTTGGAGGGAGCTGAAAGTCTGTATTGCCCAGCGACAGCCCCGAAACCTGAAGGATCTGGAGAAGGTCGGTATGGAGGAGTGGGCCAAAATCCCTGCTGCAGTGTGTGCAAACCTGGTCAAGACCTACAGGAAACGTATGATCTCTGTAATTGCAAACAAAGGTTTCTGTACCAAATATTAAGTTCTGCTTTTCTGATGTATCAAATACTTATGTCATGCAATAAAATGCAAATTAATTACTTAAAAATCATACAATGTGATTTTCAGGATTTTTGTTTTAGATTCCGTCTCTCACAGTTGAAGTGTACCTATGATAAAAATTACAGAGCTCTACATGCTATGTAAGTAGGAAAACCTGCAAAATCGGCAGTGTATCAAATACTTGTTCTCCCCACTGTATAAGCAATCAATGGATATGTGATTATGGTCTTAGTAGCAATCAAACATTTTTAATCACCTTTCTTTGCTGCTACATGCTTTAATCAGTCTTCTTCAATACAGGGCCAAGAGGGAATGGAGGAGTAGCAGAGGTTGTCCCACATTGAATACCAGAAGATGCATGCTCCAGAGCGACTTACAGTTAGTGAGTGCATAAATGTTTTTGTTTTTTTGTTAGCCTATCATAGTCCTACCATCTTGGATGAATTGCAAAACCAGTGATATGTTAAAATAGCGTCTCCATCATAACAAATAACCAAACACATTATACAATCAACACAACCAATCAACTATTGCATCATATTTTATATCAACCAAAACACATTGTCATTCAAACAACATTTGTGCCCCATTAAAATAGTAATATTATTTTGTGAGAAATTCAAAACATTTTAATTACATACATATTCACCTCCATTAAATATACACAGGCCATTCAGAAATCAATGAACAAACTAACTTTCAAAAAATGAATCAATTTTCATTAGCAATACTAATATTGTGCCAATATCATGTTCTGACTCTAACAAAGTTTGAAGTTCCTAAATAAATAGCATTACCTTAAATTCAGTCATATTGTTTTCACCTTTCATGTTGTACATGTCCTACTGTAATCATACTAGTTAGAACAAATAATTCTGTACGATGATTAGAATATCAATAAATATTACTTATATTGATGGCTCCTGATGCTGTTCAATATCATACTCAAAATCATACCTTGAGCCCCTGACACAGACAAGATGAATGACATGGGATCTATCCCATTATCTGTTGTCCTTGGCCTAGATAGAAGATAATGTCTCATGTTTTAAGGTCAAGACTGAGAAGACTCCACATCATTGTTAAAATCAAATGCAGTGACCTACTGCCAATAGTCACACCATGTAAAAGTAGTCTTCACAGACCTATTCAATAACATGGTTTGTCCAATATACAGCCTATGGTTTTGCCAACCACTTTTCTGCACATGCTGAATAGAAATTGGACTTGACAATGCAGATGCATTTACATTATTGTTGCTTTCTCAGTCTCTCCCAATTGAGGTCTGTGAGTGTTGTCCTGTGTCGGTGAGTTGAGTCAAAGATGATCTATCTGTAGAAACCCTGGATGGGAGACCAAAGGGTAGCTGTAGGTAGATCAATTCTCCAGTAGGAGGTGCTGCCCAGCCTATTTTTTTATTCTTCCTAATAGTAGATATAACGTAGATATCTGACATTGTTTTAAAGGTACAAATTCAACATATTTTATACAAGGTTTGTCTATGTTGACATTTGGTTACCATGATGATGTAATCATGTGGTTGAAATTTCACCCTCAAAATAAGTTTACGTTGTTTTCTAATTCAATGTATTTTCCACATAGATTCCACATCACAATACATTGTGTCACAATACAACCCGTTTGTGCCCAGTGGGTATAGTCATGACGTAACCGTGCTAGGCCAGGTTATGAGTCCACCAAATCATTAATAATTGTATGTGTTGGATTTATTAAGTCGTAATTTTTTTGTTTATTTTGCAGCAATAGGAATTCCATTAAGATACTGCATGGCTAAGGGTAGACGTGGGGGGCGGAATGTGAATGTAAAAAGTGAAAATGTTTCTGTAGGGACATTTTGACATGTTTTTTTGAGCTGAATGCCCGGTGAGCCACTCAGTTTTTTTGATTTTCCCAAATTCCACTCCCGCATATTCCCCTAATATAAGCAAATGGAATGCAAGACCTAGATCTGTCAACTGTGAACATACAGTTCTCTCTGCCTGTATTGTGTAGGTAGGCCCTAATGTTGAGTGCATTTTGCGCCATACTAGGCTACTATTTTTTGTTTTACTACTGATTTTGTCAAATAGCATAGGCTAACTTTTGTGTATCCAGACAATGAATCAATAAACATAAATCATGTTGAGTTTATTATTATAGATCCACTACAGCAAACCAAAATAATACATCTACAACTTCTACATTTCACCTCTTGACCATTTTCTTACAGTTCTCATAGATATCCATTAGACTAAACAAATGAGGAGGTATTTGGAAGTTGTTGGTTAAGAGTATGTTGCAGGCATTGTCCACTTTTCCTTCAGAATGCCAGCCATCGGTTACTCTCCACTGTCTTTTCCCTGTAAAATAAGAAATAGTAAGGATTTATTTGTATACCACTTCAGTATATCAGGTATGGTTAGTCAGATTTATTGTATGAATGCAGTAAATTTGCTAGCCCATCAACTCACCTTGCCCATGACCTGGGTCTCAGCAATGTCAGCACGCTCTTCAGCCTCCTCCAACTCATGCTGCACCTTCCTGAACTTGGTCAAGTGGGTATTGGCTTGCTCCTCCTATAAAATGAAATTTGATTAAGTGTCAACATTTTGAAGGGAGGTTAAAAACCATGTGTGTAAACTGGTCTGGATTGAGTTGTACTCACAGCCTCCTCCGCCTGTCTCTTGTAGGCTTTGACCTTCAGCTGTAACTTGTCCACCAGTTCTTGAAGTCTAATGATGTTATTTTTATCCTCCTCAGACTGTTTTAAAACAGGACACATTTTATGCAGCCTAGGGCCTATTATGGAGAATTCTTTAAATTGCCATGCACCAAAGAACTGTGGTGATGAGGAAATCAACGGTGCAGTTTCGCATGCAGTGTATCCATCCAGCTGACATTTACCTGATAGGTGAGCTCCTTGATTCTGCGCTCATACTTGCGTAAGCCTTTGACAGCATCTGAGGCGTGTTTCTGCTCTGACTCTAGCTCAATCTCCAGCTCTCTCACCTGATGGAAACCAACAACTATTACCACCACATAATACAAGCATAACATTGTCATCTGTATCTTCAATAATAGTTAAGGTTCTATTATAATCTTAACTATACAAACACTACCCTTGTCTCCAGTTTCTGGAGTTGCTTCTTTCCACCCTTCATGGCAATATTCTCTGCTTCAACTAGACGGTGCTGCAGGTCCTTGACGGTGATCTCCAGATTCTTCTTCATCCTCTCAAGGTGACCACTCGTGTCCTGCTAATTCTTCAGCTCCTCTGCCATCATGGCAGCCTGAACAAAATAAAATAAAAACAGTTTAGCACATTGATAACCATAAAAGGGACACTTACAGTAAATAAGGCGGAACATAAACGTACATCAGTGATAGCCTTTTTGGCCTTCTCCTCAGCGTTTCTGGCCTCCTGAATACTGTCTTCCATCTCAATCTGAATTGAGGCGAGATCAGCCTCAAGTTTCTTGCGACTGTTGATCAGGCTTGTATTCTGTAAAATATGTAATTCAGCAAATCACCATGGGGACATTTTGTATTTTTAGATTAAATTAGTTGTTGCTTTAGGGCTGAGGTGATTAAGAAAGTTGAGTACTGTACCTGTGAGTGCAGTAGCTGCACTCTCTCGCTAGCACCCACTAGTTCTTGCTCAGCTGTTTTACGGCATCTCTCAGTCTGCTCCAGAGTACCCCTCATCTCATCAATTTCAGCCTGCAACAGGTTGCTCCTGCGCTCAGACATGGCAACCTGCTCCTTCGTATCATCGTGTCCTCTAATAGCATCATCAAGGTGGAGTTGTGCTTCCTACGGGGGAATGAATTGATCAAAGTAAATGGAAATGGTGAAGTTTCTCCTATAACTGCAAAACAAACAGTATATTTCATGTATGTTTGTTTCCATCAGCTAACCTTGAGCTGAACTTGGATATATCTCATTTGTTTTTGTGACTCACTGGCCTGCCTATTAGCATGGCTTAGCTGAATCTCCATCTCATTGAGGTCTCCCTCCATCTTCTTCTTAACTCTCAGGGCATCATTCCTGCTCCTGACCTCAGCGTCCAGATTGGTCTGCATGGAATCAATAACTCTCTGGCTGTTTCTCTTCAACTGGTCAATCTCCTCATCCTTTTCAGAAATCTTTCTGTCCACCTCAGACTTCACCTGGTTCAACTCCAGCTGGGCACAGAGGATCTTAGATTCGTCATGCTCTATAGATGCCTGAATGGGAGTTAATGTATAGTCAGAATAGACAGGAAGATATTATAGTTGGAAATCGGGATAAATATGAGGTACCATCTTTACAAGTTTTACTATCACCTCTGCCTCCTCCAGGGCAGTCTGAACCTCTGTCTTCTCCTGTTCAGACTGTTTCTTTGACTTTTCAAGCTCATGAATGGTTTTTCCTGTTTCCCCTAGCTTTTCAGTGAGATCCATAATTTCCTCTAGAAGAAAAAAAACATTTCTCAGTAAGCTTAATTGTTTCTATATAATGTTTCTATACTTAAAGATTGTGTGTGGAATGAGAGCATTTACTAAATAAAGATCCTTGACATACGTTGCATGTTTTTGTTTTCGCAGTTGAGCGTTCAAGGATGCCTCCAGCTCTGCCTGACTCTCCTCAAATTTCTGCTTCCACTCTGCCAGGATCTACAAATTACGAAATATTACTTAGACAGGCTATATTTGTCATATAAATAAACACATGGTAAAGCATCATAAACATGTATTTCTAAAATAGTAGGTATGCCATCTTGTACCTTATCAAAGTTTATTTGCTTCTTGTCCAGAGTGGCAGCAGCAGAGTTGGCTCTCTCAACATCCATCATCAGATCCTCCACCTCCCCCTGCAGCCTCTGCTTGGTCTTCTCCAATGAGGAGCACTTGGAGTTGTTTGCCTCAACAGCTTCCTCTGCTTCCTGAAGACGTAGGGCTAGCTTCTTCCTGTAGTGGTAAACATGAAATTCCATAATACCTTTCCCATTGGTTGAAGCGATCACGTGGACAAAATAGATCCGTTTTGTTGGATCTTACTTGGCCTCTTCAAGTTCCTCAGTGCGCTGGGTGGCATCAGTCTCATACTTGGTTCTCCACAGAGCTACCTCACTGTTGGCCTTGGACATGCTCCTCTGCAGCTCAGCCTTGGACTCCTGCTCCTCCTCATACTGCTCCCGGAGCAGGTCACAGTCATGGCAGGTTGATTGTAAACCATGTGCCAGGGCATTCTTAGCCTGATATGGAAAGGAAATGTCATGGGCTTTTTCTTCACAAACATAACATTTTAGTAGCATATATTATGTTGACCTTAACATCCTCCTCATTCTGCCTTTTCAGCTCTTCTATTTGTTGGACATAGGCTTGTTTCCTGCGAGTTAGGTGTGACATTAAGGAATCCTTCTCCTCAAGCTGTCGTGACATCTCCCCTGAAAATGATCCAAATAGAAGTTCAGAAATATGTAAATGTGAACATTGGCTTTGACTTGGACGTGAAGTTTTCACAATTTTCTGTCTGCAGTCGAGCCTTCTGGCTTGAAAGGTCATTGATTAATCTCTGATGCTCTTCCTCTTTAGTATTCACTTCACTCAGATGATCTTCAAGAGAACGGCACAGTTTTTCCAAATTGATCTACAAAATCGCATTTCACAAATAATAAAAACTGTAGCTATTTCAATATATATTTCAAAACCAAAAGTTAACAAATATTTGTTAACTTACCTTTGCTTTAGCAATAGCCTCCATGTTGCTTGACAGGTCATCCACCTCCAGTTTTAGCTCACTTTTATATTTTTCGAATTTCTGCTTAACTCTTTGGAGGTTGTCAATCTGCTCTCCCAGTTCTGCCACACTGTCTGCATGTTTTCTACGCAGAGTAGCAGAGGTAGCGTCATGCTGTAGCGAGGACTCCTCCAGGTCTAGACGCAGCTTCTGAAACTCAGCCTCACGCCTCTTGTTCATCTCAACCTGAGTAGCAGTGGCTCCACCAGCCTCCTCAAGTCTCTCACTGATCTCCTCAATTTCCCTGGAGAGGTTAGCCCTCTGCTTCTCTACCTTGGCCAGAACAGCACAATCAGCCTCAGTTTCCTCCTCAAGTTCCTCAATACGAGCCTACAGGTTGACAAACTATGTTCAGTTTACAGTAAAATAAATGTTGGTAACACTTCCTCTTTGTATAATGTATATATATCCTAGCACACCCATGGTGCATTTATCTATAAGTTAATTAAGCCATTAGACAAATACAGTAAGATTTTCTTCACCTGAAGCTCTTTGATATTCTTCTGAAGTTGTGCAGAAAGAGACTGTTCCTCCTCAACCTTACCCAGCAGCTGTGACCCCTCAAAGTCTTTCCTACTCAATGCAACATTAGACAATGTCAAAGTACTGTGAGGTTCATACAATATTGGTGTAGTTTTAGTTATAGGGGGATTTTGTGTGTTATGTTTAAGGTTTAATCCTGTTTTGTGCATGTGTTTGAGGGAAAAAGTCATCATACTTCTTGAGCTTCTCATCCAGCTGCTGCTTCTCATTCTCCAGGTCCATTAAGGTCTCCTGAGACAGCTTCAGGTCACCCTCCAGCTTTCTCTTGGCTCTCGAGGTCCATACGAACCTTCTTCTCTTGTTCCAGGGAACCTTCAAGCTACATACAAATAAAATGTACCTTATTTTACGTTTCACACATCATCACACCTGTGTTCATTTAATAAACTAACTCACATCATCAACTTGCTGTTCCAGCTTGGATTTGGCTTTGTTCAGAGTGTTGACTTTGTCCTCCTCTGATTGCAGGTCATCCAGTGTTTGTTGGTGGGCCTCTTGGAGGGCTTTCTTCTCTTTGGTCAGTTTAGCAACATTCTCATCTTGGGACATGATCTCTTCCGTAAGATTTTTCACCTGAAATAATTATGAAGTGTTGTGAAACTGTTTAAATGGTTTGAACCCTGAGAAAGCCTAATGGGAGTAGGTGGATTACCTTGTTCTCTATGGCATGTTTCTCCTTCTCCACTTTGGCTAAGGTGAGCTCTAAGTCATCCATGTCTTTCTTGAGCTCAGAGCACTCATCCTCCAGCTTCCTCTTCTTTGCAGTCAGCTCAGCATTCACTTCCTCCTCATCCTCCAGTCTTTCTGTTACCTCCTTAAGTTTTTGTTCCATCTGGATCTTGCTTTTGATTAGGCCCTCACATCTCTCTTCAGCATCCAGCAGATTATCTGATTCCTAATTAGTCAGAAATAATAACATTTTGTTGATATAATAACAACTACTAAAGTGTTATAATGTTAGTTGCAGATGTATTTCACTATTTATTAACCTAATTTGGGAATACTTACACCCTGAACTTGAAGGAGAGGGTCATTCTTCTCTTGGACAATGGAGACTATCTTCTCCTCAAGCTCCTTTCTCCTGCTTTCTGATTTGGCCAGATCCTCCTTGCACTTAGTGAAGTCGACCTTCATTTGGGCCGTCTCTTTTTCAGATTCTGCACTCTTCAGAAGAGGCTTGAGTTTGAAATATAGCTTCATCCATGGCCAGTGTTTCACGATCATGAATGAACGGTGTAAATGGACTCCCTATCAAAGTAAAATCAAGATTATTCTGTTAGTTTTCATTAAAAATGGACTTATATGATATCCCAGAGTTTAGGCTGTGAGATTGCAATAGACCCGTGTTGCCTTATTTTCTGGCCATCCTCTTCTGGTACTCCAGTCTGACAACGTATCCACGACACAGTGCCTGAGTGGATCTCACAACATGGGCTAGGCGCTCATCTCTCCTCCCTCCAGAGCACCCAGGAGACCAGCTTTAAAAAACACCTGAAAAAGTGGAGTTTGGTTTACTATCAATATAGTGTTTGTGCATTACTATTACAGTGTGGATTTGTATACAGTGTGAAAAGTGCACCTTGGTGTGGCCAAACTTGTACTGAGTATGATCCACATCAATGGAGCCTAGCAGTTTCTCCACAGCCTTCTTGTTGTCCATGAACTGTCCCTCTGGGATAGCACTGGCATTCAGGATCCTGTACCTGAAACACATGAGACCAAGCATTAGTACTGAATACACTAGATACAGTATACTAAGTAGTCCCTAATGAAACCGACGTCAGTGTGCTGCTAACAGTTTAGCTTCTTCCACTGTCCCTATCCCCATACCGAGCTCGAACCAGTGATCCTCTGCTCACATACAGCCGCCTTCCTTGACAACTTACCAACCGTTTGAGCTATACAAAAGGTACCAATTGGATAGCTCCATCGGCAACATTTCAAGCTAGCTGTGGAGTGAGCTTAAGGCACATTTTTAACTCCATTACTCTAACATGTGTCTCTCAATTTACCTCTGCTTGAAGTCCCCATAAAGGATTCTACTTGGGAATCCCTTCCTGCAGATTCTGATACCCTCCAACACACCGTTGCAGCGTAGCTGGTGGATAACCAATTGGTTTTCCATGGCACCTATGATGAAAGCATAAAATGACATTTAGCAGTATCTCAAGGCAGTAAAACCTTCTGTGGTTGAAATCAAGCAGATTATCCTGAGTACCTGGTGTTTTGGTCTCATTTGGAATCAAACACTGCACAAAGTGAGGATGGGTTGTTCTCAAGTTTGTCATGAGCTTGCCAAGGTTCTCCTGAAAAAATGTGACACAAAAATGTATCAGGAAGTATAGGTATATAGGCTATATACAATAGCTCATGTGGGGAGAGAAGTGTGTCTTCTTTTGTCTATGCAGCACCGCACATAGATCAACACCTTACCCTGAACAGAGCGGAAACTGTTTGGAACGATGCTCCCTTCTTCTTAGCAATTTTCTTGGCCGCACCACCTGCCGCAGGCTCTGAAGAAACGATGTTGAAATAATGATAAATAATGCATGGCATGTTATTTTAGCTATGGGAGATTAATAAAGATTACCTTCATGGTCAGTTGATCTAATTTGATCAGGTAATATAAACTTTAAATGCATGGTTACCATCTGTTGGAGAGAAGGTTGCATAAAGCATACACAGTATTTTGACAGATTACTTCTGGTACAGCTGCAGAACACACTCGTTCAATGGGTCCTTGTTCTTGTCTAGCCAGCCAGTGAGACTGTAGTCCACATTACCAGCATAGTGCACCAGGGTGAAGTGGGCCTCAGGTTTGCCTTTGACAATCTTTGGCTTTTGGAAAGCTTGGTTCTTTCCAAGATGCTGGTCGTAGAGTTTGTTCTTGAAAGAAGTGTCTGTTGACTTAGGGAACATACACTCCTCTTCAAGGATGGAGAAGATGCCAATTGGCTGGTCGACAAGAGATGATTAATTACTGAGAAGAACTGGTCAAATGCAGAAGAACTGGTCAAATGCAGGGCATTCAACATTATTCAATCAAGGTATATGGTTTTTGACAGTACCTTCTCAATAAGCTCAATGCAGGCAGCCAAGTCCATTCCAAAGTCAATGAACTCCCACTCAATCCCTTCCTTCTTGTATTCCTCTTGTTCCAACACAAACATGTGGTGATTGAAAAACTGTTGCAGTTTCTCATTAGTGAAGTTGATGCAGAGCTGTTCCAATGTGTTGTACTGAGGGAATATGAAAGTAGCATGAAAATGAATGCTTGAGGATCAATGTATGCTTGTATCATTTCACAAAACATTAGTAATGAAAGATATCAATATGTTGGAACCATACTTCAAAGATCTCAAATCCAGCAATATCCAGAACACCAATTAAATGTTGTCTGGACTGCTTTGTATCCAGTTGTTGGTTGATCCTTAAGACCATCCAAAAGAACATCTTCTCATAGACTGATTTGGCAAGGGCTCCAATGGAGTTATACACCTATAATGTATAGAAAATATCCTCTTAGTTGACCATTGCTTAGTCTAAAGACACGTATTGTCCATGTCTTGTTGCCTTACTTGCTGAACGCTTTGTCCTTTGGTGACGTACTCATTCCCAACCTTTACTCTGGGATAGCAGAGATTTTTGAGCAGGTCAGCAGAGTTGAAGCCCATCAGGTATGCTGCTTTATCAGCTTCTGTATGGCGAACACATAACAATGCTTTACAAACAGAGGAGACAACCATCAATTTATTACATTACAACTTTTCTTTTGTTAATACCTGTTCTGTATGACAAAGATTAATCACTACCTGATTAATTGTATTTGATTCAGTTATGATATACACGATCATGTGATGAACGTTTTCTAGAGTGATGTCCCCCTCACCCTCGGTGCCATCAGGTTCTGCCTGTTCCTCACTCTGCTTCTGCTTGAACTTCATGCTCCCATAATGCATTATGGCACCAGTCAGCTTGTAGATGCCCACTTTTTATTCAGCAGTAAAACCCAGGATATCAATGGCTTCCTGTGCCATAAAAGAGGGACATCAAATCATAGCTATCTGAAAAGAAACCATGCATATTTGATTCCCTTAACTCAACTCACATCAGTAGCTATCAACTCCTCTGCATCATCTATGCTCTTCACAGTGATTTCTCCTTGACTTATAAAGGCAAAGTCATAGGGGTTGGTGGTGATGAGAAGCATATCTGAAAGGGGGAAATTAAATTAGAGCAGGGGTATTCAACTGGGGTCTGCAAAGAAAGAAATGTTTTCCCCAATGTTTTTATGAATATCGCTAGCAACAACAGAATAGACACATTTAGAAAAGAGGACAATATATTCGTTCTAATGATGTCTACTTTATTTCTCAACTCCTAATATTGAGCAAATTACACTCATTGGAGCCAATTAAACTCATCTGACATACGTAGGCTTTGAAAAAGCACCCGTAAACAGGCTACCAGTGCATTTTTATCTCAATATCAAATCATTTCTGGGTAACAATTAAGTACCTTACTGTTATTTGTTTTAATTTCAAATGGACAAAAATAAAATAGCTTCTTCTCAAGAATTTTGCTAGGACTGTCTGTGAGTGGTCTGAGTGGGGAAAATTAGCTGTTATTGGCAGAGAGGTTTGGAACTCTCTTTCCTATTGGTCTATTAATTAATAAATTATGTCACCATGGAAGGCTAAAACTCCATCCCACCAAAACAGGCAGAAATTTCAGGTGGTCTTTTCAAACAGCTCTTAAACTAAAATGATATTATCATAACTTTCACAATTGCACACTGGGCCTTTAACCAGCTAACCAGCTGCTCTTAGCAAAAATGCATTTGGAGTTATGATTCACCTGATGACAAGATATATTAAAAACTTTTTTTTGCTAACGATGGGGGTCACATATGATGGGGGTCCCGTATGAAGGTGGTCAAGTATGATCGGGGTCCCGTATTATTTGCTTGTGTGTGTGAGAGAGAGAGAGAGAGAGACTCAGTAAGAGAGATAATGTAGTATGTCAAGATTTTACGTACCAATAAGCTCTGGCTTCTTATTGCAAGTAAGCTGGTAGAATACATGGTAGCTCCTCTCAGCACCCAATTGTCACTCGAGATTTTTCCAGCAGATCTTTCAGTAACAAAGCAGAATAAATTCAACATGACTCATACAGTATATGGATAAAGTCAGGAAATTCCATTTTAGCAACAAAACAAATGTTGTACTTACACACTTCAATATCTGCTGAGGCCAGTTTACCCGTTGTGCCAAAGTGTATTCTAATGAATTTGCCCTTTTTGAGAAAATAAAAATGTCTTACTGTAAGTTTAACATTGTTCAGCTCTTATTGCTACACTTCTGCGTAAAAAACAATTCTGTTGGATTCTGGTTTCACTCACAAAGCGAGAGGAGTTGTCGTTCCTCACTGTCACATTCGTTTATAGACGGGACGGACCAAGGCGCAGCGTGATATGCATACATGTTTATTTATACTGAATAAACACCACGACAAAACAACAAATGAAACGAAACGTGAAGTCCAAGGTAGACAAACAACATAACTCACACGGAACAAGATCCCACAACCCACTAGTGCCAATAGGCTGCCTAAGTATGGTCCCCAATCAGAGACAACGAGCGACAGCTGCCTCTGATTGGGAACCACACCGGCCAACATAGATCTAGACGATCTAGATCTAAACCTAGAAAATACAACATAGAACATACCACACAGAAAATACACACCCTGACTCAACAAATACCAGTCCCCAGAGTCAGGGCGTGACACTCACAGTCTTGGCATTCCCAAAAGCCTCCAGCAGAGGGTTGGCCTGGATGATTTGATCCTCAAGGGTTCCCTGCCACAAGAAAGGAAATATATCTGACATCCATTCCTGTACAGCACCAGTCAAAGCCCATTCCTGTGCAGCACCGGTCAAAGCCCATTCCTGTACAGCACCGGTCAAAGCCCATTCCTGTAAAGCACCAGTCAAAGTCCATTCCTGTACAGCACCAGTCAAAGCCACTGCACTACAAAAGGCATAAGCTTACCTTTATCTTGCTGACTGGTTCTTTTTTCTTGTCTGCAGACACTGCGATTGTCGCAAAGTACTGGATGACACGTTTGGTGTTTACAGTCTTGCCTGCACCGGATTCTCCACTGTTGAAGAAAAATATCAGATTATTGTGTCATTAGAATATATTTAACTGGCAACTACTATATCTGCAAAAAAAAAAAAAAGATACTTACGTGATTAGGATAGACTGATGTTCCTGATCTAAAGAAAAATAAGCACAATAAGTTGGATGCTCAAATTCACAATATGTAATCAAAAGACATTTAAAGCAGTGGGTGAAATACCTGTTAGCATGAGCTGATAAGCATTATCAGAGAGGGCAAAGATGTGAGGTGGACCTCCATCCTCTTCTTCCCTCTGTAGGCGCTCACCACCTCTGGGTTGTAGACCGGGAGCCACTTATATGGGTTCACAGTCACACAGAACAGCCCAGAGTAGGTCTGTCAATATTGAAGAAACATACACTACCGGTCAAATGTTTTAGAACACCTACTCATTCAAGCGTTTTTCATTATTTGTACTATTTTCTACATTGTAGAATAATAGTGAAGACATCAAAACTATGAAATAACACATATGGAATCATGTAGTAACCAAAAAAGTGTACTGTACGCTTTCTTGAATTTGTTCTGGATTTGGGGACTGTGAAAAGACCCATGGTGGCATGTCTGGTGGGGTACTTGTGTGTGTCAGAGCTGTGTGTAAGTTGACTATGCAAACAATTTGGGATATTCAACACATTAATCTTTCTTATAAAAATAAGAAGTGATGCAGTCAGTCTCTCCTCAACTCTTAGCCAAGAGAGACTGGCATGCATAGTATTTATATCAGCCCTCTGATTACAATGAAGAGCAAGACGTGCCGCTCTGTTTTGGGCCAGCTGCAGCTTAACTAGGTATTTTCTTGCAGCACTGGACCACACGACTGGACAATAATCAAGATTAGACTAAACTAGAGCCTGCAGAACTTGCTTTTGGAGTGTGGAGCATCTCTTTATTACGTACAGACCTCTCCCCATCTTTACAACCATTGAATCTATATGTTTTGACCATGATAGTTTACAATCTAAGGTAACGCCAAGTAAGGTAATGCCAATCTAAGGTAACGCGGTCTGACTCATCCCAAACCATCTCAATTTGGTTGAGGTTGGGGTATTGTGGAGGCCAGGTCATCTGATGCAGCACACCATCGCTCTCCTTCTTGGTAAAATACCCCTTACACAGCCTGGAGGTGTGTTGGGTCGTTGTCCTGTTGAAAAACAAATGATAGTCCCACTAAGCCCAAACCAGATGGGATGGCGTATCGCTACAGAATGCTGTGGTAGCCATGCTGGTTAAGTGTGCCTTGAATTCTAAATAAATCACAGACAGTGTCACCAGCAAAGCACCCCCACACAATAACACCTCCTCCTCAATGCTTTACGGTGGGAAATATACATGCAGAGATCATCCGTTCAACCACACCGCGTCACACAAAGATACGGCGGTTGGAACCAAAAATCTCAAATTTGGACTCCAAACCAAAGGACAAATTTCCACCGGTCTAATGTCCATTGCGTGTGTTTCTTGGCCCAAGCAAGTCTCTTCTTCTTATTGATGTCATTTAGAAGTGTTTCTTTGCAGCAATTATACCATGAAGGCCTGATTCACGCGGTCTCCTCTGAACAGTTGATGTTGAGATGTGTCTGTTACTTGAACTCTGTGAAGCATTTATTTGGTCTGCAATTTCTGAGGCTGGTAACTCTAATGAACTTATCTTCTGCAGCAGAGGTAACTCTGGGTCTTCCATTCCTGTGGCGGTCCTCATGAGAGCCAGTTTCATCATAGCGCTTGATGGTTTTTGCGACTGCACTTGAAGAAACTTTCAAAGTTCTCGAAATGTTCCGTATTGACTGACCTTCATGTCTTAAAGTAATGATGGACTGTAATTTGTCTTTGCTTATTTGAGCTGTTCTTGCCATAATATGGACTTGGTCTTTTACCAATTGGGCTATCTTATGTATACCCCCCCTACCTTGTCACAACACAACTGATTGGCTCAAACGCATTAAGAAGGGAAAACATTTCATAGATTAAACTTTTAAGAAGGCACACCTGTTAATTGAAATGCATTCCAGGTGACTACCTCATGAAGCTGGTTGAGAGAATGCCAAGAGTGTGCAAAGCTGTCATCAAGGCAAAGGGTGGCTATTTGAAGAATCTCAAATATAAAATATATTTTGATTTGTTTAACACTTTTTTGGTTACTACATGATTCCATATGTGTTATTTCGTAGTTTTGATGTCTTCACTATTATTCTAGAAAATAGTAAAAATAAAGAAAAACCCTTGAATGAGTAGGTGTTCTAAAACTTTTGACCGGTAGTGTATATGCCCTTGTTAGATACATTTAACAATGAGATTATCAATTAAATTTTTTTGGGGTGAAATATTGTTTATCAGTGTAAAAGACTTGCATATATCATCCATGCTCCGTAACGCTCTTTGAGGTTATACAGCACAGTGGGCTCATTGAGGTAGGCCATCATAACCATGTCCTCCATCTAATCGAACTTGGGAGGGTTCATTGGAAACACTTGGTCCTCCTTGACTACTACAGTCTGGAAAATAGAAACAGAATACAGCAGGGTTATGAAAGCTACTGAAAGCAAGCCTCCAATTTGGCACATTGAATGGGAATGAGCCCATGTTGCCACTGATTGCTACGACATTGGTTCCACCGTGGATCTACTCTGTCATCTAGGGTCTGGACAGTGACTTTGTCCCCGTCTTTGTTCTGGACGAGCCCCTTCACATAGAGCTCTTTGTCATCACTGACGTAAGAGGCTGTTTTGGCGTCAAAGGGCATAGACTGAGCCTCGATCCTCTCCTTCTCTGACTTCCTCAGGTACTGGGCAGCTGGCCCGAAGATGGACATTTCTCCATCCCCGCTCATTCTGACCTCTAAGAATACAGTATAACAGAACACATTTCATCTCAGGCTTTTTCTCCCTTGAAAGTCAAAGATGAAATTGTCATTTGTCGTTCTACTTACCAACTTATTGCAGCTTACTGCAATCACTGAATCCCCTGACACCAATCCCCTGTGCCCTAGAACGGTTCAGAAGCTTGTGGGATAATGCAACCGCATAACATGGAAATCTGCTTTTTAACATCAAGTTCAAATATTTCAGCTATTCTTGTCAAGCACAGGGGGAGACTTACCTTGTCGCTGATGCTGAGAAGATAAGCATAGCCTGCTGCAGTAGCCCCATTTATACTGTGCCATTGTCCTTGGTGAGAATCCTCCTTCCTTTCCATGGGCATGCATTGTTTGAGCTGCATGAACCTGTTGCCCATGGATAACTCCATTAAGCACAAGGTACTCTATGGTTATATTTAGGCCTAGCACTCACACACTATAATATGCCACATTTCCATTAAATAAAGAACCTGCCATCAATGCATTGTTAACCACAACTAAAAGAGATTGCAATTAACGTTGACTGTTTAGCTCACAATATTTCACAGATGAAAAACTAGCTGAAATACTGTCACCTACATATAAAGATGATATAGTAACAATGCAAGCCAAAAGACAGGGGGGAAAAACATTTGCACCAGTAATATCTGTCAAAGCATCAATCTGCTGTTGTTGAGAAGAGCATTTGTAAATGACCTCAAAGCTATAAATATGAGTTGTGCTTAGTAGGCACTTTGGACACACTCACTATTCATTCATCCAGGTTGTTGCACTAATCAAGATCCAATTTCATAGACTAGGCTACATTTAAAATAAAGTAGGGGTACTCTATTAAATATTCCGTATCAGACTTAACATTGGCCAAATACTACTTTTCGTACCATAGATGTGAGCAAACTATATGAATCATGGGCTAATAGATTTGTCCCTTTTTCCTCTACACCGGGAAATGTGATATATCAGAGACATCTGATAACCAGCAGCTTGTTTAATGACTGTCTTAGTGTGGTTGCTATTTTGGTGATTGTAGAAAAGTAACATGATTACTCAGACATGTTCAAGCAGATTTGAAGAGGATTGTTTCCCTTCTTTTTAAAGGATAATTGAGGTTAATTAGGACGGAAATACTGGCGTACAAAGCCCCGGACTTGGATACAGCTGTTTTAACAATAAGTACAGTACATGGCCACAGTCCAATCCAAACAGCAGTTACAGTATGAACCCTGTTCTTCTCCTGTTCATCAGGATGGCAGAATTAACCAGCATAACTTATATGTCCACTCTACTGACCATAATATTCACAAATAATTGAAGTTAATCATTTTCATGTGACTTTTTGTTCATTGTTAAAGGGATACTTTGGGATTTTGGCAATTAGGCCCTTTATCTACTTCCCCATAGTCAGATGAACTTTTTGATGTTTCTGTTTCCAGTATGAAAGAAGTTAGAGGTAGTTTCGTAAGCCAGTGCTAACTAGTGTTATCGCAATGACTGGAAGTATATGGGTATCTACTAGCATGCTAGCAGATACAAATAGACATCTAGTCATTGAGCTAACGCTAGTTTGCAATTGCACTAGTTAGCAACTTCATTCAAACTGCACGCAGAGACATAAAAATGGTATCCACGCATTAATCTGACACTGGGGAAGTCCCGAAGTATCCCAATAAGACCAGGCTTGAACAGAATGTTATTATACCATGTGACTGTAAAGTGCATTGTCACTGCAAGGTGATCGACAGGACAGTGTACTCACATAGTGACAAGTGTATGCCAACAAGAAATTAATGAAGCAGGATTTGTATTTCATTTTGATTGAACATTTGATATGTCATGGACAGCAGGATAGCCTAGTCTGCAAGGGCTTTGAACTTAATAGTCACACACAAGGTGTACTTACACAATGAATGTATTGTATAACAAATTAATGAATACATACATAAACTGAGAACGATCAAATAAGACATTTTAGTTCACGTTGTTGGACACTGAATATTGTGCTTTGGGGTGACAAAAGTTATTCAATTTGAAGAATTACAGATCATGTATTGAGATGTCAGATACTGTATTTATGTATGTACAGTTGAAGTCGGAAGTTTACATACACATAGGTTGGAGTCATTAAAACTTGTTTTTCAACCATTCCACACATTTCTTGTTAACAAACTATAGTTTTGGAAAGTCGGTTAGGACATCTACTTTGTGCATGACACAAGTAATTTTTCCAACAATTGTTTACAAACAGATTATTTCACTTATAATTCACTGTATCACAATTCCAGTGGAAGAATAAGTTTACATACACTAAGTTGACTGTGCCTTTAAACAGCTTGGAAAATTCCAGAAAATGTCATGGCTTTAGAAGCTTCTGAAAGGCTAATTGACATTATTTGAGGGTAATTGGAGGTGTACCTGTGGATGTATTTCAAGGCCTACCTTCAAACTCATTGCCTCTTTGCTTGACATCATGGGAAAATCAAAAGAAATCAGCCAAGACCTCAGAAAATAAATTGTAGACCTCCACAAGTCTGGTTCATCCTTGGGAGCAATTTCCAAACGCCTGAAGGTACCACGTTCATCTGTACAAACAATAGTACGCAAGTACACTGCTCTAAAAAATAAAGGGAACACTAAAATAACACATCCTAGATCTGAATGAATGAAATAATCTTATTAAATACTTTTTTCTTTACATAGTTGAATGTGCTGACAACAAAATCACACAAAAATGATCAATGGAAATCAAATGTATCAACCCATGGAGGTCTGGATTTGGAGTCACCCTCAAAATTAAAGTGGAAAACCACACTACAGGCTGATCCAACTTTGATGTAATGTCCTTAAAACAAGTCAAAATGAGGCTCAGTAGTGTGTGTGGCCTCCACGAGCCTGTATGACCTCCCTACAACGCCTGGGCATGCTCCTGATGAGGTGGCAGATGGTCTCCTGAGGGATCTCCTCCCAGACCTGGACTAAAGCATTCGCCAACTCCTGGACAGTCTGTGGTGCAACGTGGCGTTGGTGGATGGAGCGAGACATGATGTCCCAGATGTGCTCAATTGGATTCAGGTCTGGGGAACGGGCGGGCCAGTCCATAGCATCAATGCCTTCCTCTTGCAGGAACTGCTGACACACTCCAGCCACATGAGGTCTATCATTGTCTTGCATTAGGAGGAACCCAGGGCCAACCGCACCAGCATATGGTCTCACAAGGGGTCTGAGGATCTCATCTCGGTACCTAATGGCAGTCAGGCTACCTCTGGCGAGCACATGGAGGGCTGTGCGGCCCCCCAAAGAAATGCCACCCCACACCATGACTGACCCACCGCCAAACCGGTCATGCTGGAGGATGTTGCAGGCAGCAGAACGTTCTCCACAGCGTCTCCAGACTCTGTCATGTCTGTCACATGTGCTCAGTGTGAACCTGCTTTCATCTGTGAAGAGCACAGGGCGCCAGTGGCGAATTTGCCAATCTTGGTGTTCTCTGGCAAATGCCAAACGTCCTGCACGGTGTTGGGCTGTAAGCACAACCCCCACCTGTGGACGTCGGGCCCTCATACCACCCTCATGGAGTCTGTTGCACAACAGCATGTGACATTTATTGTCAATCAGTGTTGCTTCCTAAGTGGACAGTTTGATTTCACAGAAGTGTGATTGACTTGGAGATACATTGTGTTGTTTAAGTGTTCCCTTTATTTTTTTGAGCAGTGTATAAACACCATGGGACCACACAGCCGTCATACCGCTGAGGAAGGAGACGCGTTCTCTCCTAGAGATGAACGTACTTTGGTGCGAAAAGTGCAAATCAATCCCAGAACAACAGCAAAGGACCTTGTGAAGATGCTGGAGGAAACAGGTACAAATGTATCTATATCCACAGTAAAACGAGTCCTATATCGACATAACCTGAAAGGCAGCTCAGCAAGGAAGAAGCCACTGCTCAAAAACCGCCATAAAAAAGCCAGACTACGGTTTGCAACTGCACATGGGGACAAAGATCATACTTTTTGGAGAAATGTCCTTTGGTCTGATGAAACAAAAATATAACTGTTTGGCCATAATGACCATCGTTATGTTTGGAGGATAAAGGGGGACGCTTGCAAGCCGAAGAACACCATCCCAACCGTGAAGCACGGGGGTGGCAGCATCATGCTGTGGGGGTGCTTTGCTGCAGGAGGGACTGGTGCACTTCACAAAATAGATGGCATCATGAAGAAGGAAAATTATGTGGATATATTGAAGCAACATCTCAAGACATCAGTCAGGAAGTTAAAGCTTGGTCTTCCAAATGGACAATGACCCCAAGCATACTCCAAAGTTGTGACAAAATGGCTGAAGGACAACAAAGTCAAGGTATTGGAGTGGCCATCACAAAGCCCTGACCTCAATCCTATAGAAAATGTGTGGGTAGAACTGAAAAAGCGTGTGCGAGCAAGGAGGCCTACAAACCAGACTTTTCTGAGGTCTTGCCTGATTTCTTTTAATTTTCCCATGATGTCAAGCAAAGAGGCACTGTTTGAAGGTAGGCCTTGAAATATATCCACCGGTACACCTCCAATTAACTCAAATGATGTCAATTAGCCTATCAGAAGCTTCTAAAGCCATGACATCCCTTTCTGGACTTTTCCAAGCTGTTTAAAGGCACAGTCAACTTAGTGTATGTAAACTTCTAACCCACTGGAATTGTGATACAGTGAATTATGAGTGAAATAATCTGTCTGTAAACAATTGTTGGAAAAATGACTTGTGTCATGCACAAAGTAGATGTCCTAACCGACTTGCCAAAACTATAGTTTGTTAACAAGACATTTGTGGAGTTTTAAAAAAAACGAGTTTAATGACTCCAACCTAAGTGTATGTAAACTTCCGACTTCAACTGTATATGTATATACAGTACACTTTACAATAGTGATCAAAGGTACAGTATATGAAGTGTATTTGTAAATTGAGCAACATGAAAATGGACTATTATG